ACCAAAAAAGATTTTACGTCTCTGCCGGACGATGATTTGCAATTCTATTTATTCGGGCATATTTCATTTGTTTTTGTACACGTCGCTAAAAGAATTTAGAGATGAGGAGTAACACACTTATTTATTATTTATTCTCTTGAAGTGCTAAAGTTTTGCAATAAGAGTGCGTTTTTATTGGATATATCAACTGTTGAACATAATTTAGCAGTTTATATTGGTGTATAAACTGTTAAATAAGGTTTTAAACGTGTCAGATCTTATATATATATATATGTATGTATATATATATATACTATATACTATTCAATTATAGAATGATTGGAAAATCTGTAGTTAAATCAGCGTTAAATTACCATATGCATATACATCTCAATGAAATTCAGAAGTTTTCTTTTTTTTTTTTTTAAGTTCAATTCAAAACAGTATTCAGATTATTATTTTCTGGCCAATTATTTTGTTGTAATGATTATGGCTTTTACAAAATAAAAACATTATCACTTACCTATTGACCAGAATTGTATTCAAATATACTTTATTGATGCCAAAGGAACTTTAAATGGTTTGTATCTTAGATTTTTTTTTTTCCACCCAATGGCTGTAGGGTTTTATATATGTGGGCAGAAAGGATCTAGTATTCTGTCTAGCTGCAAAAAAAAAATATTGCATTTTGATATAGAGATATGTTGGCATAGCAACAGAAAAATGGGGGGAAATGACAATAGCTGTCTAGAAGTGATTGACGCTGATTCTGATAAAGATGCTAATGTGCTGTAACCATATAAAAGAAACGTTATTTGGAAATAGATGCACAAACAAAAAGAATATAGGATCTAAGAAAAATTATAAAGTAAATAAATACAATAGCTAGTAATGCAGATGAACTAAAGAGTTCTTATAAATCAATCTGAGTTCCTCATACCTTCCATACAAGTGCTTTAATGTTTTAATTCACTTAAATGTAGCCAGAGGCAAGTGACCATTAATACTTTACAGTACAGGAAGGTTCTTTTCATATGTTTGTGCATTTTTAGTATCCTGTTTAAAGTCCTAAATACAAAAAAAAAAAAAAATGATTCTGTGTGTTTTTTTATTTTTTTGTTATTAACAATTAAACAGCAGTTTATCACAAAAGATCTTGTGACCATGTCCTGGATGTTTTTAAGGGTAGTAGATTGTGAGGCATTGGCTGTATCCACACTTTGTAAATGTCTCTGAAACCAAGTGTGATATTGCTTCACAAACTTTTAAAAAACTTTAGCTGTTTCATATTTAGAATTTCATTATTTTCATATTTTACAGAAAATTATCATTTCACAAAATGTTCCTTTAGTACACATTATTTGACACCCAGTGCAATTCATATATATATATATATATAAATATCTATCTATATAAATATCCATGTAAACCCCCTGTTATATAACCTGTATACACTTTATATATCAGTGCACCTTTTTCTTCCTTTGGCACATTTTTTTTTATTTGAGTATTTGAGCTGATGTAATGAGTAAATAAAAAAATTCCAATCAGATAAACTCAATCAATCAATCAACAGTAAAGCACTTAAAACAGCCATCTTATCTGCCAATGTGGAATAACTATGACCGGGATGACTGGGAATTCTCTGCCAATGGTTTGGTGGATGTCAGAGACTGCTGAACTGCTGCCAAATCAACAGTGTCCTTCATTACGGTGTAGGTCAGGGGTCATCAATGCGTTGCCAGCAGGCCTTAAGGGGCCCTTAAGGCCAACATGAGGTGCCCTCAGCATCTTCTGAAAACAGAACAACTCACCAGTGTGCTAAGTTTGAAATATTTGTTTATTCTATTGCTCTTCTTTTTAAATAATGTATACATAATTGCATTATATTAATGATAGGCAGCATTTATATAGATTTCACAATGACAATATTTAAAAGAAAGTAGAAATGAAAGGAAACAATAAAAATATGTTCATTGTGAATGGAGTTTAGGTTAACGCCGACCCCTGCAGTTCATAGGTCAGCATTGGTAGCCCTTCCTCTGACTCAGTAGCCATAAAGTAACTTTGAGCCTTAAAAAGGTTGGTGATACCTGGTGTAGGGCATAATAAACTGTTTAGTTAAAAACATCTTTATTTATCTCCTATGAAACTCACATATTCAAGTAACTGAATTCTAGGTTTTCAGTTTTTCAATCAGTTTACTGAGATGCTGCTTTGGATAAGCTGAACTTTCATGAGCCAGACTCCACCTGAGGCTGGATCACAGACTCCCTGATAGATAGGAAGCAGCACATGAAGCTGAGAAAACAGGTCTCTGATTCCAGGCATATCAACACCTGTTCTCCTAGAGGCTGTGCTTGTTCCCCTCTGCCCTACAGAGGCGGTTCTACACAGGGGTCAACGGGGGCTAGTGCCCCTGAAGAACTATTCCTAGCCCGTTATGACCTATGTACCAAAGACTTAAAACAATATACATTTATGATAAATAAATCATATGTACTGGAACAGAAACCACAGCATAGGTCCCTTGGAGCACTTTAACTGATAATCTCTATATTTTTATTTTATCGATAATTTAAAAGTTAAATTGTTTCACGTTTAACTCTACTCATATTGCGATAGAATCAAAGTTTTTATCTGTTAGATCTGAGGTTTCCAGAGCTGCAAGTAGCTCTTAACTCACCTACCAGGGGTGAAAATAGATTTAAATTCTTCCCGGTACTATATAGAAAAAGCTTATTGGCCAATATCGTTTTTTATTACATCCTGCATGCATTTTATTTTTTATTCAAACATATATATATATATATATATATAGTAAATTTGATCTAGAACTGCCATTGCAGGTGACCCCTCCCAGCCTGGACACAAACTGCTTCAGACTCTTCCCTCTGGTACTACTAGCCTCATTAACAAAGCCTGGTTCCCCTACTCGCAGTTTTCCTATTGGAGGAAAAACATCTAAGTACATTTATATTTATATCATATATAATCCAACCTTCATTTTCCACATGCATTTCCTGATTCTCAATTTTTTGCTATCTCCATATATTTTTATGTGTCACACTTCATCACCAAAACAACATCCTCTGATCTGAAAAAATGCCACTTGGCAATAAAGCATTTCTGAATTTAATACAAATCTTTGATGGTATGAAAATTTCTACTACTAAGCAAAGTATTTGATGTACCACACCAAATGATTCCCACTTTTAAATGCTTTTAGGAGTTTTTCCAGCACACAAAAAGTTTTCTTTATACATATCAGGAATCTGCAGCAATATCTTGATTTTATATTCTCAAGATTCTTTAGCAGGTTAAAGTGATCTTTAAAGAGACCACAATTAATGATTGGTTTACAAATTAATTGGTTTTAATTTAGATTTGACATCGAAACCAGAAAGAAGTGGGATACTTTTACCATCCATGGCTCATGAAATGTTTGACCTTTGTAGGAACTTTGCTTAACACATAAAAAAAAAAAAAAACATTTAGTACATAAGCCCGGATTAATTAAATCTTTATAGCTAGTTTAGATTTAAAATATTTATAGTATCAATCTCTAACTGAACATATATACAAGGTGCACCGTAAATTTAAAAAATAGGTTTGTTGTACTGAGCGAGTGAGTTACCATTGTTTAAAAAAAAAAAAACTAAATCTACTAAGTTGGGTCAGCCTATTAAACACATAAAATGAGTGATGTAACTGAGAAGCAATAGTTGTTTTGTACAGTAAAGGAATATAATGTTTATTTCCTGGTGGTTACTACCTCCTTCTCCTCACTAGTAATCTAGAAACATTTTCTATAATGCACCTTCGGGGTGAGCAATAAATTAAGGAGAATCGGGTTTAAAGAAACATCTTACACTTTGTCTTTACATTTAGGGTTTGATTTCATTTAATCTTTGTTGAACTAATCAAACTAAACCTTTGCCAGACTTAAATTATTTTATAGGGTATTTAGGAGCATAATAAGACAATAAAATGGTAAAAACTGTTCTGGGTAGAAAGTAACGGGGAAATCCATAAGAAGGCAAATTCAATTGGATCCGAGCAGTTCAATCGCTGCTGGAGTCCTCACTTAACATGAGTAGAGAACTGACCCTAAAGATTTAAAACCTTTTATATGAGCTTCTAAAAGTCTCACATTTATTAAAAAGCATCGCTAAAGTTGGGCTGTTAAGATATAATAATTAGAAGTCACAGGTTATATCAAATGTCAGTGACACTAGTGTATGATACATGAACTCAGCATTTTTTTTTATATTACCGGTATATATTATATTTATATACAATTCTTTCTCAGATAATCTGCCTTTCAGTTGAAGCTTGAAAAATAAAGTGTTTGTTCTTCCAAAAACATGTAAAGAAACTTGTAAGTTTTTAGTTATTCAAAATTATTTTTAAACCGAAACATTACTTTATCAAAAACAAAGTATTTTGAGCCACATTTGGCTGTATTCAGAAACAGTCCAGCTTTAAATAGACTTTAATCTTTTAAATTTACTTTAAAAGACAGACTGGCAATCATGAGGGTGGGCATTTATTGGCACATCTTTAGTACTTTAACTAAAGCACAACATAGAATTTAGTTGACTGCAGTTGCCTAAATATGAAATAAAACCAATAAAAATTTTAACAGAAATGTTCTCTACTGGAGATGCCTTCTGACTGGATGATGTCCAGTAGATTGTCCTAAAGTTCAAAGCTAAGGAATCAAACCATCCAGCGTTGTATCCTGGTATAGGAAAGGAAAGTTTAAAAGGAAAATCGGGGGTAGAAGAATATTTTTAGCACCTGATAAGATTGAAAAGCTGAGGTTTAGGGAATGTATGGGTTATTTATTTTACAGTAAAAGATTTCAGATAAAGAAAAAAAACAACCTGTGCTTCTGATCTCTTGCATGGCACGCTGCACTGCTTCAACCTGCGCCTTCGTTTTTAGGTTGTTTCAACCATTCTTCTACTGTATTCATTTCCCTCCAAGCATGATAATAAAAGACCAACACAACAGAGTAGACAACAATTCATTTAATAATTATTCTTTGTGGTCTCTAGGGGAGGGTTTGAAAGGTATAAAACGGTCATATTAAAATAATCGACCCAGTCTTTTCCCCTCTCAGGATCTCCTCCGTCTCTAATTGCATTTTTGACACAAGTCCCTATATTCTTTTTTTTTCTTCTTCAGTTTTTTCAGCAGATTTCCCACTAATCCAGGTATATAATTTATTTTTGTTGATGAATTAGATGACAGTTCAATGTACAAGGCTCCCGCGGTCCCAACAGATAGCACATAACCAGTGACTCACAGGCAAACTTCGCTCTCAGCTTTAAAGTCGCAGCTCAGTTCCTTGAAGAGGCCAGAGGTTGAAATGGATAAGGCTTAATGTTCACAAGCATTTAAAAAGCGTCCCATGAAGCAAGCCTTTTTTTTCCTGCCCAGGGGGGGAAAGAGTGCTGGTTGGTAACCAAACAAAGACAAATAACATAACAATGAATATATTTATTATTATAGAAGATAATTAATGTTAAGTATCATAATTACAAAGGCAATTTCTCTAATCTACTATATTCTGGACCTGCTCTTACAGATGAGAGGAAACTGGGAAACAGTTACAGGAAGCTCTAAAATGCTGTGTTTACTCACACAGTGTAGCACAGTTCATTTCAACAAGAGAACCCAGCAGAACTAGGAAGGAATCTCATGATTAAAGATGAAGGTTAGGGTAAAGCAGAAAACTGAGGTAAGATGTTTTCTGATCAGAAATAAATGAGCTCACCAGTTCACAATAATGGATGCAGAAAAAAAAGGAGGAAAAAGCACCACTTTACCTTTTCTTGTTTAAAACACCCCATCTTAAAAAATACCCGGTATAAGTGGAAGAGGGCATGAAGGTATTTTATAAGTTAACCAAGTTAAGAACGAAGGTGAGCAAACCTTAAAATTATTCCCGATTCAGCTCCAAAATGCTTAACTAAGAGCATGATTTATAATTCACCTGATTAATGAAAGAAAGCTGTCCTCTGCCTCTTCCTACAGCTTTCAAATCTGAGCGCTGTGATAACCGACAGTCCATAGAAAATAAAAATACATCAAGGATGCACAGAAACCATGTACCTTTAAATTGCACTGATAAAACCACTGAGCATATTCCAAGTCTTTCATATAGATCCAAACCATCGACTCCAGCCGGTCGACTTTTCTCCTTTTTTTTTGTTTTTTACATTTTGTGACGACTGGAGCTGGTCTGGTTGTGTAACTGGGAAGGCAGGGCTTTAGTAGTCTGCAGGAGGAAAAGGGGGCAGTTTGAGAGCAGCACAGTGATCCTGACATTTCCCTTCATCTCCTCCAGCCGTGTTCCACTACTATCTGGACTCTCCGTCTTTGTGGGTGCTGTACAGCGCCAGCTCACCTGGACCGCCGAGTCTGGAAGTACGAGGCGGTGTGGCCGAGCGGCTGGCGATGGACGGAATGAGCGGAGGCGGTGCCCCGACCGACAGAGCCCCCATGAGGTCCTTTGCGAGCATGCCATTAGACATGGCGTGTGGGTTGATGGGCCCTAGACGGGAGTAGAGGCTGGGGTGGTGCTGGGGACCGGGGCCGGCTCCGTGGTGAGGGAGGAGGCCCTGATGGAGCTGGTCCAGATGAGCGGCAGCTGCGGCGGCGTGAGAAGGGCTGGAGAGGTGAGACCCAGGAGGGAGGTGTGGGTGCATCGCGAAGTAGCTAGCGCCAAAGCTTTCCCTCAGGGCTCTCTGCTCCTCGTCTAAAAGCTGAGAGCGCTCATAGGACGTCATCAGGCCAAACTCGGGGCGAATAGCGGAGGAGGCGGAGGTAGAGGTCGGAGGGTGATGAGGGGCGGCGGCTGCGGCTAGAGTCGCCGCCCGCTCAGCCTCCATGAGTTGCCTTTGATGTAAAAGCCGGGCTAAATGCGGGTCGGTTCTCAGGGCCAGGTGGGGATCCGACCGAAGTGCCAAAGGCTCCCTCCGATGTCCCCCCCACGGGTCAAAGCCGTAGCCATGCGGACCCTGAGGCGGTCCCGGCGGGGGTCCGTGTGAAAATCTTTCTCCTGCTAAACCGACCGTCAATCCTGGCACCCCCTGCGCGCTTCCAAGGAGCGCTTCGATCCTGGAGCGCTCCAGCATCGGGAGATGGGGAGGAGGGTTAAGAGTGGGAGGTGGGAGAGAAACGCCAGGAGTGGGAGTAAGTGACAAAGAGCAAGACGAAGGGGTACCAGAGCTGGGGTGGTGTGGGTGGCTACTGGGGCGGTCAAAGGCGTGCCCGGGGGCTGGGGGAGGAAGGGTGATGGGGATGTGCTCCGGCTCCTCCTTCCTCTCCTCTTTTACTTTAACTGGCGGCAAAAGCAGGCCAGTTTTAGACACGGGCGTTGTGGTGCGGTCCGACTTCTTGGCGTGGGACAAAGAAGAAATGGAGGATGAAGCTGCAGAGGAAGCAGGAAGGTTACCGTCTCTTTGGGGATGGTCGTTGTGGAGGTTTTGTGCCGTTTGGGCTTGGGAGCGAGAATAAATGTCCAAGGGTGATGAGATGGAGCGGTGCGAGGGAGGTGGAGTGGTGAGCACAGAGGATGAGGAAGAGCGCGGCCTGTCTCTGTCTGCTACTAAAGATGAAGAGCCAAGAGGAGCCCTGGAGGACGCGGTCGGCAGTGGCCTCTTGTCTCCGTCTCTGTCGCGGTCTCTGTTCAGACTCCGTGTCAGGTCCTCCATGGCTCCAGCGCTCCCTCCCAGGGAGCTGCTGTGGCCGTTAATGTGGTTGACCGGTGTGCTACTGCGGGGCTTGAAAGTCAGAGGGGCTGGAGACATTCTCACAGGCTGTCGGCCGTACATCAAACTGTCTCTGCAAAGCAAAGGAAGCCAAATTCAAACTTCAGAGAATCTAAAACCTTTTAAGACATTCAACTAACACATTTGTCGTCATAGTGTATATAATCCCCAAAACCCCCAAAAAACAGAACATAAGAGGACAATTGTAAAGCCTGTGGAACATGGCAGAAGTGTCAGTAATAAAACTGGAGAGGTTTGCAGCAATTTTACAGGCTTTGAAAATCAAAAAAACATTTATTTTTATTTTCCAATCTGACTCAGCTGGAACTAGTTTGTAAAGAAAAGAAAAATGTCAGTTTCTACACCCAGAAACTTTGTAAGAATGTAGTTGCATCTGAAGATGGTTCTATAAAGCATTGCACAGCATAAATAAATGTGCATGCCGCATGTTTCTGGTTTTTATTTGTACTGGGGGGAAAAGACAATGTTTTCCTTCCAATTCACTACTAGGCACTATTTTCTGTCTTGCATAGAAGTCTATATCAAACACAGTTATGAGTACACTTCACTGAAAATGAATAAGTTAGCAGTCAATTCATACTTTTTTCTTAAGAATAATTTGTAAAAAACCCACCCCTTCAAATTCAGAAGTCGGCAATACCTGTCCTTTTCATCCTTAATGTGGGGCATTTCTCTCCTATCTAGTTCCTTCCCTCGCTCTCTTTCATCCCTTTTATCCACTCCTTTGACCCAAGGACCTCCTGGGAAACCTGAAGGGCCGCTGCGTACAATGTTCCAGGCCTCATGATGGTTGGAAGTGGGCATTCCTCCTGGTGGGGCGTCTTTAGGGCTAAACACAGAGCCAGCTACAAGTGACAGAGATAATTTACAGTTAGAAAACAATCAGCAGCGCACGTTCATTCATTTTTTAAAAACACAAAAAAAGTTTTTTTTTTCCTACTTGTGAAACCAGAAAACACAATTTCCACTCATTTCTTGTTAGCGTCTAATATGATCCAAGTATGTAAGAGTTAAAATAATAAGTAACCGCAAAAAACACAAATTTTGCTTTAGCAAAATATAGATGCAAACATTTCTACAGCAAGAAAAAAAACCCTGCATATGAAAATTGTTTTGTTCTTGCAAATCAATAAAACTTCTTGCAACGCTGCAAAGACAGTTTAGCCCTGGGTACTTTTCTTTAGCTCACCCAGTTTGGTCTAGTTGATCAAACACAACTAAACGTTGGGAAACCCTCCCAACACACCACATTCGCCTTCCTGTTTCGCCATAAAAAAGGTGCAAATGCACTTCGGTCCACCTGCATTTAGACTCCATCCAGTAATTGCGGGCTACTGAAATTAATGCATACAACCTTTTGCTCGTATATCAATGACAAACCGCAGCACAGCCATTCATAGCATGTCGCTGTGACAGCTGAGCTGTAGCTGTGCTATGAGACAGGAGAGAAAAACATTAAAAGGGGAGAAAAGCAAGGGTAACAAACTTCAGGCAGGAGAGTTAAAGAGTCGGATGAGGCAAAAATACAACACATATGGGGCTTTAATAGTCGGGATTTTACAGAAAAGGATCAATCATTTCTGATGCACTTCTAATGCATAAAAATAAAAATATGGTGCTGCGATTTCAAAGATAACAAGAAAAGCACCGGCCTCCGCTCTTATCCATAAGCTACAGGCTAAACTGAACTTATTTTCCAGCAGATAAACATATTTCCATCGTCACTTATTTACCAAATCTATATTTGCTCATTAAACGTTACAGATATTCTACCCATCAGAACAGGAATTGCTCAGATTAAATCTGTAATCATGTACTGGTATACAACTACAATCATTAGAATCTAATTTTAAAGGCTTAAAATTCAAGTCTTATGCTTTAAAAATATATTTTGTTGACATATTTTCCTTTCAGTGGTATAATTTAACTTCTATTCCAAAATTAGTTGCTTTCTGTTAGCCATCCGTTTGACAAACAGCGAATCAAACACTAATTGATTAAGGGTCTAAATCAGGGTGAACTTCTTTAGCCATATTTAGCGTTTACGAGCTTGGTAGAGGCCATTCATCATGGCAAACATATCAATGAGAAAATAGCATAACACCAGGACACATTATGCTAATTTAGCACCTAAGGCTAAAAGCTACAAGTAGTGACAATTTTTTATTTAGCCGATGTTTTTTTTTGTTTTTTTTTTGTTTTTTAAATACATGATCATGTGACGCCGTAAATGACAAACTCTTGTAGGTTCAAAGTGAGTTTCACCAGATGTGATACTCCATCAATCGGTCAATCTGGGTTTGATTGCTGTGGCTTAAAGGCCCAGTTGTTTGACAATTATTACTTTTCATAGAAAGATTCAATTTAGGTTAATAAAAAACTCAGTTTCACTTGTCAGACTAAATTTTCAACAAAATAAAATCAATTTTACAAACCATTAAATTGATATCGAATTCAGCGAAATTCACCAAATACGGATTCAGTCTAAGGTGATCAGATTAGGCCTATGATGTGATTGTTAACATGCACATTTCTTCCCAATTTCCTCACAGTTTAAGCTTGAGAGGTTAAGATAAATTCATTAGATTTGTGCACACCACATTTTCAGACATTTAGTGAACTCTCGATGAACACTAGCATCCAGCTTTTGATTACTCCAGCTGTAACACAATGCCCCACTTGTACGCTTTTGCAGTACAAGTCAAATAAAGGGAATTATTAGAGTTGTTGAAGCTTTGGAGCTACAGCAGGAGGCTCAACAGACGTATTAAAACGACGGGATATGAAGGTTAACCTTAAAGCAGAAATGTTTTCAGCTCCTGTTTCTGAAATCTACAATTTCTAACACTATACTGCCACCATTTATGAAAAAAAAAATCAAAAGAAGCTCAGATTCTACACATCCAGAAGCTGCATTTTCAATGCATTTAGGCTGTAATTTAATCTAACAAAGAAAACAAATAAAGGAAGCTTAATAGGATGCTAAAAAATTAAGCTGAAATGTTTAGCAAAAGCATTAGTAGACATTGAAGAAAGCATAATGTCAGAACCTTTACTTTGAGCCGTTGAGCAGGGCTGCATGCTATAAGTTACAGCAGCATTTACAATATTCGTTAGATTAGAGACACACCAACAGATTGATGGGATTGGGCAGATTTTCAGCTCGACGCACCCATACTGATCATTTTCTTCGGAGCAGAGGTTATTTGGGAAAAAAAAAAAAAAGCTTTCTTCAATATCTTTCAGGCGTTTCAAATAAGATGAGGCGCAAAAGGGGGGGTTGTCTTTCTGCAAGTTTCATCACCTCCTGTACTTTAGTAGACTGGCTTAAGCAGACGACAGAGAGCTCAACAGGCTACGATAGGGTTCCTGTTTTCTCATTTTGCTAGGTCATACTCTTTAATCGTTCGTGGGAAATGTTGCAGCAAAAAATGTCGGCAGCCTTCTGGAAACCTCAATATAAATGTCTAATATTATAAAAGCACCAACCTATTGATGTTTAAAGTGATCAATGCTAACCATGTTTATCATGTTGGACACAAAGACTAAAAACAACAACAAAAAAAGACTGAACTGCAGAACTGTGCAACAGGATCTGCTCACACAGCAGTTTATTACAAACAGGGCTGCTCCCAATGTTCTAATTAATAAATACTAGCCACAGAGGAGCTCTTAGGGCTGCTGTTTGTAATAAACAATCGTTTCAGCAGTCTAACAGTAAATCACTCAAATAATAGATGAGAAACCACTCAATTTTTTTTTAAAGCAACTTATGGTAAAATAACTTGAGAAATGCTGCTCTTCTACATTCTGTGGTATGAATGTATAAGAAAACTTCAGTAAGTCATTATCTATTTGTCAAACATGCAAATGACAGTTCTTTTTAGCCGAGTTCTTTTTGAAATTCCCCCAATCCCAGAGGATTTTACTGCATTTGTACATTTTCAGTGATGCAGCCATTTTTCTAAGCCTGTCTAAAAGCAATGCTTAGTTTGAAGGTTGACTGGTTCTGAGGATTATTCCTCTTGCCTGTTTGCAACAGAAAATGATCCCTTCCAAGTACGGCTGCTGAGCTGGTAATCACCAGTGTACGCACCATCAAATTTTACTGCCAAAGTTTTTGTTTTACCAAGATTAGCACAGACCATTCACTTAGAGAGTTAAGCTGTCCTCCGTGACATGAGTCTACTTCAACATGGTGGAAATAGACTTATGCCTTACAGCTCGATCAACCCGCTGGAATTCTAAAAATCCACTTTTGTTTTGATCAGTGAACGCACCACGCCTAAATGCAAATCAGGTCAAACTTAGGTTTAATACTTTTCAGTATAAGCTAACTAAGCCTTCTTCCTGCTGTAACAGCTTCCTCACCAAAGAGTATCTTAAGTATATAAAAGGAAGTCAGAAGTAAAAAGAAAATCATATATTTAGGTTTTAGTTTCCAAAGTCTGGTAGACATATTAGCTTTCACCTCAGGAACACAAGAGAGAAACATTTTTAATGGTTTAAGGTGAATTTGAAGGTGATTTAGGAAAATACTAAAAATCAAAAACAGCAGCTTAAAAGGTAAAAAAATAAAATAAAAATAAAAACAAGGTTAAAAATGAGCCACAAATCCCAGATTGGTGCATTACTACTGTACCGTTTTAAGATCACTGCAGGCTTGAAAAGTCACACACACGTACATTTTCCCATTGAATCCAATAAAAAGCAGATAGTATAGCATTGTTATCTCTGCTTAAAAACTAAAAAAAAAATTAAATAGATGTTATATGATACATGTATCTGTTTCCAATATGAAGCCGCATTAAAAGCTGAATTAAAAAAATAAAATGGAAAACTTTCAGAGTTTTTGCTTGATCAATTTTTCTTACATTTACCAATAACTTCCTGTACTGTAAAACACAGACGCAGCTCCCTTGAAGTCACGTTCCCAACGACCCACCAGACTGAGCTAACTAGGTTAGCGTACCCTCAGATAAAGCACATTACTAACCTTTGACTGTAAAGCCTGTATTTTTTCCCCTTAAGGGTATCTAGGTTTTTTCATTTTCAATATCACTTAACTACCCAACATTTACCTGATTTGGTTTCATTTCTGCACGTTTTCACAAACCGAGAGGTAAACCAATGCTTGTTCTGATTTGGCAGCGTGAGAAATGGGTCGTCTCAGTACTTAGATATGTGATGTCTACCGCATATGAAAAAAAAAAAAAAAATAAGAGTGTGGACGAGGTGTTTTGGATAAAACAAAATCTGTTTAAAACCCTAAACCATTAGTTTAAAAAAAATGGAGGTCACAAAACCAATGACATGATTAAAAATGTTTAGCTCTGAGGCTCTGATTGAATCATCACCTGGTTGGGGAGAAAAAAAAACGGAAAAAAATATAAAAATCTCTAAATGTCCCATGCAACAATATAAACAGCCTTTTATTCTTCAAAATTCCTAAATGTCATCTCAACACCAGAATAGGAAGGGGAAGTTGTATTTAATATTTCTGAAAAACTCCTGACTTTTCAAAAGTCCAAAAACTTCACATCTGATTGGATCATTCCAGACTTGTTTGAGTTTAGGCTAAACTTTCATCATGCAGCGCAGTTTAGAAGGGATCATTTCTAAGCCACAGACGGCCTCTGAGGAGCAGTGAAGTTGGAATTTGGACACAGGAAACCAATCCAGATATTAGCCACGGATCTTACACCATGCTATTAAGTAGTTAGCTCAGGTCCATTATCATGTTCTCCAATCATTTGAGATTTTAAACACTCATAAGGACATCGTCATGTCTTCTGTTCACTGCAGAACTCATCATTCAATGGAGACACAGACATGATTATCAGCTCAGTTTGATACCAACTTCTGATTGTGATTTCCCATTCCATTCAGGGGATAAACCAGGGCGTATTTCTACATTTTTAAGTGCTTTTAACTGTTTAACTATTAAACATCCACAATAGACTCCAATGATCTCAGCAGATCGGAAAACTCAAATGAGTTCTATGAAACTCCAAGTTCATCTGATTTTCCAGATATTAAAAAAAATAAATGAAATTTCTCAACATCGGTCATTTATTTTTTAACTTCCATAAAAAGCTTTTTATAAGCTTTCATAAAAAGCTTTTCATAATTTGTGAATCATTAACCAAATGACTCAAATAGTTTCTTCAGTTTTATAAATCGTCTTCCAGGACACATATTGGTTTTGATTGCCCATCTACATGCAATCTACTTTAGATATGAAGATGGTAAAAGAGATTTAGAAGAATTGTAACCCCTCTTTTGTGTTTAAAGAGTGTTGGAACTGTAAAACTGACCCAGTGCTGGGCTGCCAAGTCCTCCAAAGGCACCAGAACCAAGGGCTCCCAGTGGAGCAAACGGAGGGGATCGACCATAAGGATCTAAAGCACAGGACAACCCTCAGAAAGGTGGGCACAGGGTTTCTACTAAACACCTTTAAAATTTCAAGTCGAAAAAAATTACCCAAGTGTGCACCCGGTGGAAGGAAAGGAGGATGTGATGCTGACGGGGTGAGGAAATGCGGGGCAGAAGGGTTGACTGGACCTAAGGAGAAGAAAAAAACTAAATCTGTCAAAGCATCCAATTTTAACTGAAATATTTTAACAAAAGCAGCTATACAATCTGTTACGGCTTTGTGTGAGATGTTAGCGCAGAAGCATAAGTTATTACTGCAGACATAAAAACAGTTATTGAAGATACAGTGCTGGGAAGTTTTACATTTCTGTCTCAGAGTCTTTCAAACAAGCTTAACTAATAAACAAAATCAATGTGGATTTAAGATGATCATTTACATGCATCAACTTAATGCATGTAAATTATCCCGAAATGCATTCACCAAATTCATATTTGCATTTACTCCCCATCTTTGATAGAAAAGTTGCTCAATTATGAATGGATGAAATCTGTTTAAAGGTTTTTTTTGGGAATCACCTGTAGCAGGGAAGAGACTCGGAGGTCGGGTCAAATCATGAGTCGGAGGCATGGATCCTCCCAGGCCTACAGGTCCAGAATAACGCAGCAGGTCGCTCCGGAAGTCCAACTTGTGAGGATCGGCCTGCATCAGCTTTAAAAGAACCAGACAAATCATCTTAAACAACTCTGGTTGTCGTCACATCATCATCAGCTTAGTGGGAAATGGTTTGCAGACGTTTACCTTCACTTTTCTCTGATGGCTTAAAATCATCCAGGCCACATGTATGTGCATAGCACACCATTTTCCCGGTTTCTGCAATGGACAAAAACAGAGAGCTTTGATTGAGATATATATATATATATATATATATATATATATATATATATATATATATATATATATATATATATATATATATATACACACACGCATTTTTTTTCTTAGTTTTTACGGCACTAGTGGCCCATTTTTTGGACAGTAGTCTGACAGGAAAGGGGGAATGAGAGAGGTAGAGAGACATGCGGGAAAGGACCACTGGGCTTTGCTATAGTAAGCAATGAATATTGTATTTTAAATTTTAGAGCCTTTACACCAAGGCAGGCATTCTTCCTGTAAAGGTTGGCTTGAACAGCTGGAGACAAGATTACTTGCTACCAGTTTGAGCTTAGAAATATTAATACACACCAAGGTGGGAAAAACTACACATGTAACAGTTTCTGGGGCTAAAACACTAGGTGTAAAAGGACCAAATGGATCAGCAGAAAAAGAAGAAATAACACAGATGATGCTCGTGATTTTTTTCTATTTAATTATTGTAATATAATAAATTGGCATTAGTTGGTTCCAGATTATAACATACTTATAGAGTTTTTACAGCAGCTCCAATATCAAAAATATGACGCATTATGCTAATTTATGATCCTTTGAGTTATTGCCACGTTTGCAGAAGGAAATAATTCATGTTGGTCAATGCTTTAAAAAAATGCAGGAAATGGGGGCGGGAGGTCAGCAATGTTCTTACTGAGTCAAACACAGAATGATCCTGTATAATCAAGTATAATGAGTTTGGAAAAGTTAAAAGAATAACACAAGACAGGAATACCATTTCTTAAGGAATACCATTTTTTTTTTGGGTGTTTGACAAAAAAGTAGGAAAGTATTTTTGATGGAGCTTCTTTAAGCAATCGGTTCTTTAAGTTTTCGTTTGAATAAAGTTTTGGTAATTAGCATGTAAAGCAGAGAAGCTTTGCTGGAGGATTTTAAAATCCATTTGACCAAAACTGCAGAGAGGAGAGTTGAAAGGAGCAGCGTCTGTTTTTGTTTTCTGACGTCTGCTGCATTCTTCACTCCTCATGGTGCGTTCCCTTTGTACCAGTAAGCCAGATGTTCCAAGTACCCAGTTGGTTAAAAAAAAAAAGAAAAACGCACATCAATGCCACAGTTTCATTTAGATTTTGTATTCTTTGATGATTTAACGACTCTTCTGAGAGAATTAGATCCATTTTATATTTTTGTCCATTAAATTGCTTGTCTGACATCAGAGGTGCTCAGAGCAGTCCAGCTAAATGTGATTAAACTGCAAAAAAAAAAAAACACTGGAAAAACGATCTAGAAATAAGTAGAAATGTCTTAAATTAAGTGTATTTACCCTTAATTCAAGCAGGGAAATTAGATAGTTTGCCAATGGAATGAGTATTTTTACTCTTAAAATAAAATAATTAGATAATATGCCCCTGAAAAAAGACAATCCAATTGTGTTTTCTTATTCTAAATGTAAATTGTCTCGTTCCATTGGCAAAATTTATTTTTTATCTCCTCAATCCAAGAACAAATTCACCTATCTTAAGAAAAAAAAAAAGCTCATCTAGATTTAGACTTTTTCCAGTGCAAAAACAAGAAAACAAGCAAACCAGGTCTTGATCTAATGATCAAAGAAGAGTGCTAATGAAGGTGAGAGCAGAACAGACACTAAAGGCTGCAGACACACGCCATGCTTCCATCAAAGCAGCCACGCAGAAGCATATTGGTTGGTTTGTAAGCAGGATTACTTGAAAAGTTATGAATGGATTTTCAATAAAACATTTTTTTCAAGATGTGTGCCTCATGCCAAGGAATAACCAATAAAAATTTGGTAAATGATCCAGATCATGTGAGAGTTTTGGCTATAGAAGTAAATCCCAATAAGGGGGAATTTTGCTGCTTGGTCTGTGCTTTTCTATTTCACACCAAATCAGTCGCAGGAAATTAGTGAATATGACAGCAGTACTAGATTTGGTAAAATAGCAGGTCACTTTTACCTGGTAAATAAATTCTGGCTTTATTTACACAGGAAGATGAACCAATAAATACCCAGTAAACTACCGGGTAAAGTTGTAAGTGTGAAAGAAGCTTTAGTAAGCGCTGTTTGTTTTCAAATCAAACAGTTCTATGAAGGATGAAATGATTATTCTGATACTTCTTATTCATTTTTCAATCTAATGATTTCAATCAAAAACTAATGATATGAAAGGAAATCCACAAAAGTTTAGCTAAGCCGGTTTATTTGGTTTAAATAAATGTTAAAGTAAGAGAACTCTGGATCAGATTTCAATTCAGTTTGAGAGAATATGATACAAAAAACAGCTATGGATCGGACCATTGATATGTTGAATATATATATATATATATATATATATATATATATATATATATATATATATATATATATATATATATATATATATATATATATATATATATATATATATATATATATATATATATATATATATATATATATATATATATATATATATATATATATATATATATATATACACTATATTGCCAAAAGTATTTGCTCACCTGCCTTGACTCACATATGAGCTTAAGTGACATCCCGTTCCTAATCCATAGGGTTCAATATGACGTCGGTCCACCCTTTGCAGCTAGAACAGCTTCAACTCTTCTGGGAAGGCTGTCCACAAGGTTTAGGAGTGTGTTTATGGGAATTTTTGACCATTCTTCCAGAAGCGCATTTGTGAGGTCGCACACTGATGTTGGACGAGAAGGCCTGGCTCTCAGTCTCCGCTCTAATTCATCCCAAAGGTGTTCTATCGGGTTGAGGTCAGGACTCTGTGCAGGCCAGTCAAGTTCATCCACACCAGACTCTGTCATCCATGTCTTTATGGACCTTGCTTTGTGCACTGGTGCACAGTCATGTTGGAAGAGGAAGGGGCCAGCTCCAAACTGTTCCCACAAAGTTGGGAGCATGGAATTGTCCAAAATGTCTTGGTATGCTGAAGCATTCAGAGTTCCTTTCACTGGAACTAAGGGGCCAAGCCCAGCTCCTGAAAAACAACCTCACACCATAATCCCCCCTCCACCAAACTTTACACTTGGCACAATGCAGTCAGACAAGTACCGTTCTCCTGGCAACCGCCAAACCCAGACCCGTCCATCAGATTGCCAGATGGAGAAGCGCGATTCGTCACTCCAGAGAACGCGTCTCCACTGCTCTAGAGTCCAGTGGCGGCGTGCTTTACACCACCGCATCCGACGCTTTGCATTGCACTTGGTGATGTATGGCTTGGATGCAGCTGCTCGACCATGGAAACCCATTCCATGAAGCTCTCTGCGCACTGTTCTTGAGCTAATCTGAAGGCCACATGAAGTTTGGAGGTCTGTAGTGATTGACTCTGCAGAAAGTTGGCGACCTCTTCGCACTATGCGCGTCAGCATCCGCTGACCCCGCTCCGTCAGTTTACCTGGCCTACCTCTTCGTGGCTGAGTTGCTGTCTTTCCCAAACACTTCCATTTTCTTATAATACAGCTGACAGTTGACTGTGGAATATTTAGGAGCGAGGAAATTTCACGACTGGATTTGTTGCACAGGTGGCATCCTATCACAGTTCCACGCTGGAATTCACTGAGCTCCTGAGAGCGACCCATTCTTTCACAAATGTTTGTAAAAACAGTCTGCATGCCTAGGTGCTTGAATTTATACACCTGTGGCCATGGAAGTGATTGGAACACCTGATTCCAATAATTTGGATGGGTGAGCAAATACTTTTGGCAATATAGTGTATATATATATATATATATATATTTTTTTTTTTTTTTTTCATAAAATAGAGTTTGCATAAACTGTTATCTTTTTTTAGAGCTGCTATAATAACTATACTATTAATGGAGCAAAGAGAATAAAACAAACGTGTTTTGCTTACATTACTGGTTTTCAGTGATGTCACATATGGATCATTTAGCTATAAGAGAACAGAGGACCAAAATCACTTAATCAACTCATGCTGCAAAAAAAACAAAAAAAACATTTTCCCCTTTTGCATTTCAGGGTTTTAAACACAAACTCTACAGTAAAGTCAAGATACCAGTCAGGGTGTGCTGCTGGCTCCTTGTTCTTACCCTGTGGTCTTTGGTCTGCAGGTGGTGAGGCACAACTCCGAGTCGTGCTGTTATATCAGGAGCCGTTCCCTGAGGGACAAGAGGCTGTCAAACACAGCACAACTCATGAGCCACACCCTAATGATCTACGTGCTTTCTAAACATATGCAAATCTAGAAATTATGACATGTTCCCTGCAGTTTTCCCCTGCGGTTCTAAGGCTGTCACGGGATCAGAGCTCGTTCTCAAATGACACCCTTTCCCCGAAGTCTTGATTCTTAACAAGCTTTGACATTTTATCGTCAGCACCTTCAGGGTGAGAGATCGATAAATGACTCACTCCAGCAAACCCTTATTAAGACACGCTAATGTAAATACAGAAAAACAGGGAGCTTTCCTCATTACCTTTGGCTGAAACGCTCCTTGCAAAGAGCTGAAGGGTCCGGCAGGAGGAATAACAGGCGGAATATTTGACACCGGAGGTGGAGGGTACTGGAAGAACTGACATACAAAGATAACCCCAGTAAGTAATCATTAAAAGCCTAAACAAACTAATAAACTACCTCATTTATAGAACTAGTGCAACTCCTTCCAAAACTTTGAACTTATCACTAGTTACATAATTAGTTATGCTAGGTTCACAAAAAACACGATTTGAGCAGCAAAAGCAGCCGGTTTACGTGCAAAATCTATGGTTGAAATGCATCAAAAGGTCCTGTTGAATATTTGAAGCATTTGAGCGGCGCCTCATGAGCAATTAGGCATCTGAATAAAGAATCCCTTTATTGTCCCACAATGGGGAAATCCTGGACGTGCTTCATAAGCAGCAGATCCTGGAGTTGAAAAATCTGAATTTTTGCTCGACGAGGCAGAGAAATGTATTTGGGAGACAGATACAGCACTGCTCATGCAAAGCTGTCTGCACAAAGCCATCAAAATTAACAAGAATATATATGAACACGGTAAAACTCTACTAGGTTTAAATAAAAAGCAGGGAGAATATGTTTTTTCTTGTACAAACAAAAGTGAGGACTTTGATCACTCCCCTGAAACAATTTATTAATGCCTGAATGAACTTAAAATGTCGAAACCTGCCGGCAAAATATTTCGCTTTTATTATTCTACTGCTTGCAGTTAGTATTACATGCACTAAAAACGCTAACATCTACGTCTAGCCGCCACAAACAGAAGAGGAAAATCCCCAAAAGGATGGCTGCCTTGAGGGAGCAACTGCTGTAACGGCTCGCGAAATAATATTCTAAGGCGAGGATTGTAATCTGGATGATACGGAAGAGGATTAGGGCCACTGAAAAAAAAAAGTTAACTGATTTTTAAATTTTATTTCAGTTTAATATGGGAAAAAAGTCAGAATTCTGAGGAAAAAAGTCAGAATTCTGAGAAAAAAAGTCAGAATTCTGAGAAAAAAAGTCAGAATTCTGACAGATAACAAACATGTTAGCATCAAGCCATAGCCGTGTCTGTTTTAGAGACTAGCTCTCTTGTTTTAATTACCATCTACTCCTCCATTAATGAGGGGACCCCTCGAGGACGTAAAAAGTTGCCTAATTCTGTCAATTTTCACCAATGTGTCACTGGCCACCTCAAACAACTCACATCTTTGTCAGTGAAGCTGAGTGCTCCCACATCTCTACCTTAAAGGAATAGTACACCCAAAACATGATTAGGCTTCATTTTCTACTCACCCCCATGCTGAACAACACTCTGGAATACTTTTTTGATATCTCAAATGCATCTGGAGATCTGGGAGGCTTCTTGCTGTCTGCTGACATTCAAATAATGGTGGTCTATGGTGCCCGAGACAGAAAGGTCCATAAAAGTCCACAAAAACGTGTCAATATTCCTCCATACTGCTCGTCCAATGTATTCCAAGTGTCCTGAGTGGGTAGCATCCAGAATTTACTCGAAACGAAGTTATTTAGAACGTTTTTAGAGCATAAACAGTAGTGTATAGGATTTCCTGAAAGCGCGTTCACGACACTACGGAAACCGCGGCAGACCAAACCAGATGAAATGCGCTTTCAGCTCGGCAAAGAACTCCTGCTCTTCCTCAACACTGAAGTCCTCAGACATTTTTCTTTCGTTGTTTCTTTCTTTGCACAGGTAAACAGCACATTTCTTCTTCTACGCTTGCATTATCGGCAGAGCAGACGCTGAATGCGCAGTTTCATCTGGTTTGGTCTGCCGGCTTCCGTAGCGTCCTGAACGCGCAGGCGCGCGCTTTCAGGAAATACTATACACTACTGTTTATGCTCTAAAAACATTCTAAATGACTTCGTTTCGAGTAAATTCTGGATGCTATCCACTCAGGACACTTGGAATACATTGGACGACCAGTATGGAGGAATATTGACACGTTTTTGTGGACTTTTATGGACCTTTCTGTCTCGGGCACCGTAGATCTCCATTATTTGAATGTCAGCAGACAGCAAGAAGCCTCCCAGATCTCCAGATGCATTTGAGATATCAAAAAAGTACTCCAGAGTGTTGTTCAGCATGGGGGTGAGTAGAAAATGAAGGCTAATCATGTTTTGGGTGTACTATTCCTTTAATGGTGCCCATCTACATTAAGATCCAATATTCGGAGATTAAAGTCAGAATTCTGAGAAAAAAAGTCAGAATTCTGACTTTTTTTCCCATGTTAAACTAAAATAAAATTTAAAAATCAGTTAACTTTTTTTTTCTTCAGTGGCTCTAATCCTCTTCCGTAGGATGATCTGACTGCACAGACAATGTTTTGAGGGGGACTTTCTCGCTTCAAAAAATATAATAACTACTTTTGATCCACTTATCATGGCAAATATAGGCTAAATAAATCCACTCTGCTATTGAACACAGGAGCAGTACAGGAATCAAATCCAGCAAACGCTGTACTTCTGACCTCTGCTGCTCAGATCGCGTCCGGTGTGAACGTAGCATAGTTAACAGTTAGAAACTTACAGGGTGTCGATAAAGTCCCTCCATTTTGCCGGGGAACTTATCAAACTGAAAAATAAAGAACAATGGAACGGTTCAAAACATCTCAGCCTGAGAAGAGTCAACACGTCAAGCACAAAACAGATGTTCAGATTAACAGCGGCCGGCTCACCATAGGCTGTGCCGTGGCTGAGAGGTGTGGGAAGGGCGTGAAATGTTGGTGCGTGTGCGTATGTTGGTGCTGGTGGTTGTGCTGATGGAACTGGAAGGCCAGCGGCGGGACGTTCTGGGACGTCCTGCCTGACGAGCTGGACGCAGAGTTTGGTGCAGATGGACCGCCAGGGGTGTTGCGACCCGCCGCTGCAGAATTGTTCTCTGCCCCCGGCACGCTGCGTCTGCCCTCGCGCTCTGTTAGCATGTAAGAAACATAGAAATGACAGATTAAACTTTGTAAACAGGGGTGGAAATCAGAACAAGTGCAGATTGAATTGATAAAACAGTGGGAAAACTTCAGCAAGCGCAGGTTTGATATGCTGATGAAGATTCTCAGTCATCCAGGTCATAGTCCTTAAGTAAAAGTTCCCAAAAATATCCACTGGACTTGGTTTCCAAGATTTGAAGACGTTTCGCCACCTCTCCAGGAAGCTTTCTTAATTCGGAAATTGAGAAAGCTTCCTGGAGAGGTGGCAAAACATCTTCAAATCTTGGAAACCAAGTCCAGTGGATATTTTTTGGAACTTTTACTTGAAGCGCAGGTTTGGTTTTCAGTTTACACAGCCGACCTGCTGGGGGCAACTGCTTTTAGATGTGAAGGAAACGGCGTTAAGAGCTGAAGAGGAGCTGAACACTAGTGTGGCGTCACAGTGCTGGTGTAAAGCACCAAATCTTCTTAACATTGGCCAAAAGAAAGTGAAAAGGTTATAAAGAGACCAAAATGTTCCATTATGCTTTCTACCAACGTGATGACGCGGCCTGAGTGTCTTAGATTTTCTACCAACCTGCCGATTCTGCCCTGTCCAAAAAATTACTTTTTTGGCATTTTAGATTATAAAATGTGCCAAAAACAGTATAAATGCAATACAATCAACTACAGATACTCAGAAATCTGATATTTCTTCATCTAAGATATCAAAGACAAGCAATGTTTGCTGCCAACGGAAGGGAAGCTATTTTAAAGGAAACTATATCCTCTTTAACTGTGGTTACCAAGTTAGGGAGAAACACAGGTGGGATTGGGGATTGGTTATGGTACATATGAACTAAATAAATGATCAATTGTGAGAGGTAATTAAAACAATTATATAATAATGATAATGTTGAAATCACTAACAATAAAATAAAAGGTTCAACTTCACATATTTACACTTTGAAGGTGGTAGTTGGGTAATTTAAAGAGGATTCTAGATCCTTTTAATTTCTTTTGGAAGACTAAAGTTTTAAAAAACCTGGAGGTGGGAAACAGAACAACACATTTCTGATCCATGCAACCTTTTAAACTGACTGGAATCAGCTAACTTTCTTCCTCTCTCTCTCACACTGGTGAAAGAGATTTTTTTTTAAAGATCCACCTCAGGGAGTTAAGAAAAGTTAGAAGAAAGAAAAAAAAGAAATAAAAACACTTCTGCTTTTCATAAAGTATCTACTACTTTGAGATAAAATTATCAGTTCTCACTTCACCAATGTGTTACTTCCCCAACACCCAGGACAAGCCCAGACACCCCGAAGGAGGAAGTCTATGTTTGGTGTATTTTTGGAACAGTTATTTTATAATCATGAAAAATCAACTAGCTGTAATTGTGGTTATTAGTGGCAGATTTCTTCACTTTACCTGCAGCAGCCGGGTGAGCAGGAGGAAGCAAAGGAGGTGGTGGAGGCAGACCTGGGGAGGACGTGCACAAGTTCCCAGAGCTGGCACGGGACGGGGGTCGCAGAGGGCCAGAGGAGCCTAAGCCCCGACTGAAGCGCATTGACACCAAGGTGGCGTTAGTGGGAGCAAGCATGGAAGATGAGGAAGAGGCAACAGATGAAGCTGTTGGAAGTTTTAACCGGCCACTGCTGATAAAACAAGAAGAAAACCAAACATTGAAGACAACTGGGCAACCAAGTCTTGTAATTATGATAAAACCTGCAAGAAGCTGACCCAGATCGACGCAACTCGAGGAACGAGGGGGGTGGACCAGGAAGGGATGGGGTGTCGTTGTGGTGAGTGCTATTCCCATTGACTGGGCTGGGTCGGGGGACGGCGGCGGAGGCTGTGACTGGAGAGTGGGAAGACAGGCAAGAAAGGTTTGGGCCAGAGGAGGTAGAAGAAGGAACCGGCTCTGGGAGGTGCGACTCCAGGCTTTTCTCCTGACTTCGTTCCAGACCAGATACTCGCGGGGTCACCATTAACCTCGAGATGCCACCGCAACGTGCCGACAGAGGAGGGCAACTTTTGCCCGATGTTCCCAAATTTGAAGGGGATGGTTCCACAGCTGAAAGAAAACAAACTATCATGACTGCAAGCAAAGTCTATCAGGATAGTTGTTTTAGTTCATTGCAATTTAACTCTCCAAATTCTTACAATAAATACTGAAAACCTTCCAAGTGTGCATTAGCTTACACAGACCATGTATAAACCACTAAAGTAGTTGAATGCATTAAAATAGAAAATGAAAGAAACTGGGAAAGTAAACAAAACTGCTTTTCTGACATTCAGAGCACAATTAGCTTAGCCCCATTTACTATAAAAAGCAACAAAAGGCAAACATAACTCAAAATTACTACATTAAGATCCATTACTTAAAAATTAGCTGTCAGAAGTACAGTAGCATCAGATTTCTGGGACATATACGAAAATGTACGATTAATAGTGACATTTAGGAGGTTTAATATAGTTAGTGAAGGAAAAATAAAAAAATAAAAGTTATCAAGTACAATCAAGGGTGGCCTGGATGCAAAGAATGTCTGAATAAACTTATGACAATTATTCTATGTTTATAAAACCCCTTTAACGTCTTAGAAATAATAAAAATCCACGTTTATGTGAAGCTTTTCAGAAAAGATAAAGGGAAATTTTAACAGACAAGCAAGCAGAAAATAGAGACGGTGCTATTTATATTTATAATAAAGAGGAAGCTACAACTTACAAAAGTATATTAACAAGAGAAAACTTCAAGGAAGACACTGCAGCATTCTTATTAAAATCCACCAGCTACTCTGCTTGGAAAAAAATAAATAAATCTGCACCATGAAGCTGATGATTGTGTTTAAAAGACAAAGTAAAAAGGAAGAAGCCGTTTTACATTTTACCCAAATGTGGCTACATTTAAGCATTATACGGATTTGTCTTTTTTTATTTTAATTCATTTATTAATTTCACAAAATCAACAATCTTTTTTTATTAATGTTATAGAAAAGGAACAATTTTCAAACCTTTTCTGGTGCTGACTGTGAACACTGGATCCATTTCATTGTCGGAGGCCTGAGCAAACAATAAATAAACAGATAAATAGAGATTTGACAAAATGATTCAGTGATCCCAGTTTACTAATCTACGGAAGAGGATAAGGGCCATTGGAAAAAAAAAAGTTTACTGATTTTAAAATTATATTTCAATTTACTATGGGGAAAAAAGTCAGAATTCTGACTTTTTTTCTCAGAATTCAGAATTTTTTCTCAGAATTCTGACAGATAAACATGTTAGCATCAAGCCATGTCTGTTTTAGAGACCAGCTCTCATGTTTTAATGACCTTCTGCTCCTCCATTAATGAGGGGACCCCTCAGGCATGTAAAAAGTTGCCTAATTCCGTCATTTTCCACCAATGTGTCACTGGCCACCTCAAACAACTCACATCTTTGTCAGTGAAGCTGCGTGTGAAGCTGATCCACAATTCTGAGAAAAAAAGTCAGAATTCTGACTTTTTTCTCAGAATTCAGACTTTAATCTCAGTCAGAATTCTGACTTTTTTCCTATACTATGCTGAAATAAAATTAAAAAATCAGTTAACTTTTTTTTTTTTTTTTCAATGGCCCTAATCCTCTTCCGTACTAATCAGAATGGTCTTAATAAAAGCAGCATAAAGCTGTAATAACCTCCAAAGTCAGCTTTAAAACCCCACTAAACTGAGATAAAGATATTTTATCAAACATACAAACATACCTTATCTCCAGTATCGCTCTCTGTGTCGCACTGGAAAAGAAGTAAAACATCAATATAGACATTTATGCAAAGATACATTAACAACCATTACTGTTATATAACAGAAAAAAAATAACAGACTTACAATGTAGCCTGTCTCCAAATGAGAACCCTAAAAGAATAAAATAAAAATAGATGTTGCAGGTTATGAGTGATTTATTACACTTTTACTGGGATCCAACTTCCTTTCATGCTGGTGGATAGTTTTAGGATTCCCTCCCACACCAGGTAATTTATGAAACACAAATATCAAAGGTGTTTCTCAACAGTGAACCAGTTTTACTTGCTCACTTTGAATAGCAGGGTGTACAAGTCATTAGTGCTGCCAAACTATAAGTCAGGGCTGTTTGATGAGGATTTCTCTCAGCGTGGAGCATTGAAGCCCTACAGAGACATACGGGTTTAGCTTTACCTCTATTTTTCTCCGTTTGTTTCTCCTCTTTAGGTAGCTGCTGGAGTAGCTGTGTGGGGCCCCTTCCTCAGGCTCTGACAGCAGCCCGCCGCCGTTCTCCTCAGGGCCTCGCTTCCCCCTGCTCTGCCTTCGAAGGATATCATCACGCTGATTGGGCTTCAGAGAACAATCCATCTAATAAGGAGGAAAAAAAAAAAAAAAAAGCAGAGATTTTATATTTATAATGTTTAAAAAAGCTGAACAATATTTTAAAGTACAGTAGCCGCCATTCAAAATGGCCCTTCCCAGTCAAACGCAGCCCACTTCCCTTTAGCTCCCAGCAAAATCCCCTCAAACTTCCAGCCACCGGCCTACTCCTGGACGTGCATATTTTCTTTTACTCTGACTCCACCCTTTTACTGAATTACAGCATCCGACCAGGAGATGATGCTTCTCTTTAGATCTTAATATCTACAAATCATGACAGAAAGATATTTTAGTACAAAGATTGATGTTTAAAAAGGAATTGTAGGGGATCAGCCAAGGGCGCATCAAGGAAAGTGGGGAAATTTTGAATGGCTACTACTGTACATCAATGTGTGCAGTGTTGTAGCTGCATAGAACTGTTTAAGCAAAACAGACACAAAAGCTTGTAATTTGTTTTATTGGGAAAACCTGATAAAGAGCTTCATGAAGGAGATGCTCCACCTCAAGGAGAGCCAATGGGAAGTAGGACTGTCAAAAACCCTCTTATCTGGATACAATTCTAATTTCGACACCAATACGAACATTATTTGCATATTTTTGCAATTGCTAATTTTAAATAGCATTAAAAGAATATCTCAAAAAACAAAAAATGATGTCAAATGGTTTAATATTTGAGTTGTTTACATATATTTGAACAATAATAGAATCTGATTGTGTGGAGAAAATATGATCCAAAGGTTAGTTTTCCCATATTAATACATTTTTATGCCTTTAATTAAATGGCATTTTTTAAATTCACATGGCATCAACTATCGAATAGTTTCCTGGGTATTGATATCAAGTTTGAAAATTTAACATAGTGAAAAAAACATTAGGGGGGAAATCTGGGTTAAATGTTATATTACTGCCAAAAATAAACATCAAATATTGTACAGATGCACAAATGTGTCTAGGCATGACCTGGATACCAACATCAAGATAACAGTTAAAAACCATTAGTGTCAAAACTGCAAAAAAAAAGAAAAAAAAAAAAAGAAAAAAAAGGAATTCACTACATTTAAAGGGAACAAGATGCCACATACAGCATCAGTGACTCAATTTTGTTTTACTATCTCAAGCATTTAGCAGTTAAACTATGCAGGCAGCATTCAGCAGCACCTGAGTTAGGATTATAAGGCTGCCTATAATGAAAAGGTAGACCAATTAATTCATCCGCTAATGGATCAAGGCCTGAACTGCAACTTAACTTTCATCAGGGATTTTAAATGCTAGTTACAGGTAGGGCTGAAACAATTAATCGGATTAATCACAATAAATACCATTATTTAACTAATTTTCTTTTTATTTTGGTGATGGTTAATTGTTAACTGGTGTATTGAGACTCTAAAACATGCCTTTAGCTGACAGAGCAACCCATTTTAAACAGTAATTACACCAAAATAGAAAATTATTGTACAACATTTTGCATCTAAGAAAAAGTCTTTTTCCCAGCAAAACTTTTAGTTTCACTGGTTTGATTTCATAAAAAGCCTTCTTTAATGAATGTTTTGCTATCCAATTATTAATCGAATGATCAAAAAAATAATAATAATAAACAGATTTATCAATTTGCAAAATTATAATTAATTGAAGCCCTAGTTACAGGTATGTTTGGCCTCAGGTTTATCAGCAGTGACAGGTGGCGCTGCATTTCCCTAAACCAAAGGACTATGCAAGAGTCCAACTATACAACCTTCAGTTGCAGGAAGAGTGAAATAAAAATAACTGCGAGATAATCATGACATGTTAAATAAAAGGAGGAAGTAGTATTTTATTTTTCTAAGTAGATTGCTTCTTTTTACTCTTTTTTTTTTTAAACTGTACTAGAAACTGAGGGGAGGAAGATTTCCAAGAAGTTGATGTAAAAGCCACCACTTAATAAGGGCTGGTAGTAAAAGGCTATTTTCCAATCACAGGGAATTGAAAAGTGTACCATCTGTTTCTCTTAAATAAGGTGTTGAAGTGTTCTACACTTATAGGCAAAAATAATTGACTTAATGTCTTAATTTGGATATAACTGGAACTAAAGTCATTCGGTTTTGACAAGTAAAGTCCAGTAAAACTTAGCAGGAACAAATCAGCAATGGTTGTTTGCTGGTTGATTAGAAAATAAAGCAGTCCAGAAGCGTGCAGGCTTACTTTGACTTTACATCAGGACATCATGTAAAGTCGGTTTATCTTAATCCAGATGACAAGAAAAGGGTCAATATAACTACCAATATCAGTTTATAACCAATTCACTGTCTTGTTTTTTCTTTTTAATACAGTTTGTTCAAGTCTGATAGAGAAACGTTTAAGCATTATGGGAACTGGCCTCCAATTATAAATACTGACCTATATTATGACCTATATAATTATTATTAACAGAGACTGTTGTGTAAAGAGGTCTTAGCTGACTTCTTGGACAATAAAAGAAGAACTGGGCAATTGATTGTATTTGCAGTTAAATTTCAATTTGAGAAATCAGAATTTACACATTTAATTTTACATTTAGGGCTGCACATAATGACTACTTTGCTAATCGATTAAGCTGTTTTTTTTGACAAATCAAATTATAGGTGGATGGAAGAAGGTTCCTTAGAGGGGATTATTTTACAGAATTTAAATCAGGTGAGACTAAAACTATTAATTCTGAGTAGAGCACATCGAGGGACAAAAAAGTTTTTTCCTCTTATGTGCAGAATGTTTTAGTTATTATTTTGGTATAATTACTGCCCTGAGTGCCTTTCTCTATCAAATAAAGGCATGTTTTAGAGTCTATATATTCCAGTTATGATTCATCGATTACTAAATTAGTGGACTATTATTTCAATAATCAGTTAAACATGATTAATCTAATTCATGGTTTCTGCTCTAGTCACATTACTTTTTTTAAAAGACAGCGACTTTCTTACTCCAACCCTTTAGATGGCGATGATATAATTAAGGTGGGTTTGCCACAACAGCAGGTGAAGAGATGGTTGCAGCTAACATGCAGCTCCACACATCAATACCAGTAAAGCTCTGGAGCGATGGACTCTGGAAGGTTTCAAGGTCATGAAAAAAACTGAGAACCCGGAGTGAAACCAGGGCGTGCTTGTGTTTGATGCAACGGAAAATAAAATTGACATTGCAAAATTGGTTGTAAACACATAAATATAAAAAAAAGATAAAAATTATTCAGCCCTAATAAAAAGTCAAACAAGAGACAATTCACACTTAAACTTCTGTTCTTATCAACTAATGAGCCATTAGGCAACCATCAACCCTACTGTAATTAGAGCATAAATAATTGAGGAATCTCCAAAAGCCATCAGAAGGTTGAAATAGCTCTTGGGGTATATCTGAGCAAAGTCTGGTATTAGGGACTGATTAATTTCATCTACAGTCTTTCACTAAGGACACCAGCAGTGAGTCTGCTGATCGGGAAATAAATGATTACTAACAAACAATTCGGTAAACAATTATCCCATTAAATGCTTTTGTTCTTTTACGAGCTTTCAGCACCATATAAAATATATTCTTCTCAGCAACAGGGTACATTGGAGAGTAAATGCACTGAACACTGAAATCAAACCAAGTAGGTCTCAAATTAGTAAACGAAACACCTAAAACATATGCATTGGGTATGTCATTGGTTTGCATTTGGCAAAACTTTTAAATGTTGCAATAAAAAAAAAAAAATATGTATTTTCATTTCAAGTTTGATGATAATATTGTGTTTGAATAGAAAGCAAGTTGATCTCAAGATTCCGCTGCTCCCCTTAACTTGTTTTGAGTTTGGTTACAAAGGTCTAGATCAGTGGCGACCGGTTAATAGTGAAAGTACCTCCAGTTTCTATAAATGTAATAGTGACACTCAGTTGTGACGCTTGTAATCCAAACATTTCTTCATAACAGCAATATTGTAGACAGATAATGTCATGGCAACTGCAAATTATATAGTGTTGAGTTCAAATTAGGATTTTGTAAAAGTGACTTTTGACTAAATAAAACAAAAACTGAAACATAGTTAAGTGGCATTTTTTTTTATTTGAATAGGTGTTTTAAAGGTTTTAATGTAAAATCATGAGCATCCATTTTCTTCTTTAAACTTGTAGGGAAGAAAGTGGGCTCCCTTTAAGGCCATTTTAGATTAAGAGTGTTTGATTTGACCTACAAACATCTTTATTTATTTTAATGCATGTTGACCATCCCTATGTTAATGATGCAGTTCGGTCTGATGGATGAATGACAGCTGATGGTGCCAGATCGAGATAGTTACCTCCAAAGCCTCCAAGCTTATGAAGCTTGCGATAGCGAAGCCGTCAATGATGTCTTCTTCGCATGAAACCGACTCCCTCTTCCTCCGACGCGGAGGCCTGTGTCTCCCGAATCCGGGCCTACATTCCCGTCCACCGGAACCAAGAACGCCGTTCGTCCCATGCCCCTCTCGGTCGGAGCCTGAGGACAGGGATGTGGCCCTCTCCTCGGCTAGGTTGACTCGCCTGCGCCGCCTCAGCTCCCTGTCGCGCTGCGAACGGGATCGTCGGCTTTTTCTCATCCCAGAGCTTCGGCTCGGACCCTCCATACCCCGATGCCGCCTCCCTTTGTATCTCCAATGGGACCAAAGGCACTTTTTTCTTTAAAGTCCCGGTCCGGCCGAAGGCACCGAACCGTAAATGTAAAAGAAGGAAAAACAACCACACCACACACAGGCCCTAAAAGGGAGTCCCTGTTAAAATGGCGTTAATGGAACCAGTGGCTATTATTTACCGTCCCCTGACAACAGTCTACTGCCATCAGTGCCTTTCTTTTTGCGGAATTTTAGTGTCATCTCACTGAATATGAACAAACACGTAGATCCACCGGGGAATATCAAACATCCAGGACGTCACGCAGATGTCAGAAACCTAGCTTACTGTCTCATCTGAGGCTTATATGAGCTAACAAGGCGCATGTAAACAAAAAAAGGAAAGCCCAGATAACACACAGACAGACCAAAACAGGTTATCTATAGATTACAAAATAATAAGTACAACAACATCAGCAATATTTATCGACACAAATCCGATTTTCTCTAGATTTTTTTTTTTCAATACAAGTCGACAAATTTATTAGCAATAATGACATACGATTAGCTTGTTAGCAAGGCCAATAACCAACCATTTGAAATAAAATTTAACATTACTGTCAAAGTTTAACATTGACAGTTAAAGTTCATATAAATGTAACTAATAAAACAGGTTTATTAACTATGGATTTAATTCTACTAGAAATAGGTGATCAATGTTTAGCTGTTGCGGATAGCTTAGCTAAAGCGATACAATATTATATATACACAAGACCTAAGAATATGCTTATGTTCTTATAACATGTTCAAAGGTTGACAGGTCGAATAGTACAGCTGGGCGTATTTCCCATCTGCCCAAAAGAGCAAATATTCCTGCTGCTGAAGTGCTAATGGCCGATGGTGATGGTTGAATTCATCAAAAGAAAGACGTAACGTCGTTAGCAATTTGGCTAGCTGTTAGCCTTCCGCAAGAACCACTCAGATTTTAAGGAAGGCTAATTGTACATACGGTAATTTTCAAACTACGAAACAAACACTATGTTGTGCCGTTTCGACTAATCGAACAACTCCTCCGTCGTTCTTCGTTCGTATTAAGAGAAACCTCTGAGGCCCAAATTTTAAAGCCTCGATGTCGATTTACAAGGTGTCGGCACTCGGGCGCCCGTCGGGCTTGTCTTCTCCTTCATCAAACCCTCCTTGTAATCCAATGTTTGGAAGTAGATGAACCGCTTGACCGTCGCTTCCGCTCGGCGATATATTAGCGAGCTCAGACTCCAAATATTTTGAGAGAGGAATCGGAAAGGATCCGCAGCCTTTCTCTCGCAAGTTTCCACGGAACTGAGAATTAATGGTGAAAATGAGGCAGACACAACCCTTGTCAGCCGTGCAGTGCATTGTGTGCGCAGCTCTTCTTCCTCCGTTTTTGGGCTGGCTGATGAACAGAACTGAGCTGTGCTGCCACCTAGTGGAGGCCGCGTAACTTTATCAGACATGTTTATACTCCTGCTGAGGAATTTTGGTTTCAATTCAAAAGCTAGAAAAAATATAAAAATCCTCTTTAGGATTTTAGTCAGCTTTTTTTCAACAATTTGGCTTAATGCCGATGAGAAAGTCCTTAAAATGTGCTTAGGGTCAACAGAAGAGAAATATAATGAATAAATTCAGGCATATTATGTACATTTTGCTACAAGTTTTTTTTTTCTTGTATTCTAAAATTTAAGTTCTGCTGTCATTTTGCATATCTCGGATGTTGCTGCTATTTTCAAATATCTATTACTGTAAAAAGTTGTAAATTGGTTATTTATTCTCCAGGTGCACAGTGTTTATATTGTAAAAACACTTTACAGTACAGTATTTTGGTTTATTTTTTAACTCTTCTCTGTTATTTTGTATACTTTTCTAAGGTCCACATTTGTGTGACAACTTTTGCTATAATCTTCTTGCTGTTGCAACACCAAAATGTCCCTGTTGTGGGACAATAAAGGGATTTTCTATTTTATTCTATTCAAGCAACTGTGTCTGCTGCTCTGCTTTAGTGTTAGGGAGGCCTTGGTTGCTTTAATACCTGCTTTTTTATTTCACTTTTTTTTACTCACCTCTATTGCAATAACCCGCAGATTCTCAACAGGATTTAGGTCAGCCAATAAGCATGCTGATGAAATAAGCACTGAATCAGTATTACAACAGTCGGCTCTTCTTCGTGGTTTTAAAGGATTTCCTGTAACATGGTTGATATTATGGCCAAATTATTGGCTATTGGTGATCCACTGTTGTCTTATCAGTGACTAAAGCAGTTTCTCTTCTTCTCTTTCTTTTTGATATCTGAGCACATGTTTTTAAATGTATTTTAGGTACCAATGTATCAATGATAATATAGTTATTTCTTCCTAACATATAGGTATTTCTCCCAACTGTCTCAAATAATAGTACTTAATCTGATCAAATAACTTGTCACCAGTCTTACTGTGTAATATTTGAGTTGGAGTTAATGACCATCTTTGAGGTTTCTTCTGCATTTTGCCACATCTCTGTTGCTCAATAGCTTAACCCAGTAGGTTCAAACTCAGTCCTTAGGACCCACTGTCCTGCACAATGCTTGCATTCCTTCATCAGCATCCACCACAGGCTGCAAAGGCCTGCTAATCACCCCTTTATTTAAGTCAGGTGTATGGAGGGAAGGGAATGCATAAAACATGCAAAAAAGTGGGTCTTGAGGGCTAAGTTTGAGAACCACTTGCTTAACCTATTCTGCTTGGAGATGTCCTAATGCTCACCAGCCTCCATTGTTCAGCAAGCTCTGCATTAGCTGCTTTTCCATAGCTCAGCACTGAGTAGGTGTAGGTCCTAAAATTTGCTGGACCATCTTCAAAATAATCAAAGCCACCTTGCTCTGATCCAAATAAACTAAATTTGACTTAGGTGCACTCTGATAGTCATGGAAACATGCCAAGAAGATAGATATCGTTGAAAGAATACCACAAGGAATTCATTTTAGTTCTCTACAAGTCATAAAAGAAAAAGTTCTAGTCAGAACAGCGCAACATTGAACAGTCATATATGGGTGAAAACCAACAATGTGCATTGCCTTGAAAGCAATTCCCTCTATAGCATGGACAGGGAAGCTGTTTTGGATCTATTAGAGGCTGCAAAAATCTCAAGACCTGAACAGTTATAACCTTCACCACTAGATCAACACATAAAAAACCACAAGAACTTAATGAAATTAGATGAAAGTATTCTCATGTTTTCAAACGGCCTAGTCAAAGTCCAGACCCAAATACAACTGAGAATCTGTGGCTCGATTCAGGAATGTTTTTCATAGACTTGCTTTGGATTGAAGGATTATTATCCAAAGATAGTCGATGGGCTGCTTCTAGTCCTTACCTAACATTTACCCATGATTTTGAAAACAATCAACAATAGTTACTAAACTATATTAAGGATTGATAAAAATCTATGTAAATAAGAGCCTATGGTGAATAAAAATGTCATGAAAAAGTACGAAGATTTCAGTTACATGAAAGTGTTATTTAAACCTAATAAACAAAACAAAAACAAATAGGATAAAACAGCCTGTTTTACCCGATTTTTGCACCTTATTTGATTACTTTAATCTTTCAGTCATGCATGTACAAAAGTCCTTTGAAATGCTCAATGTCATACAGTTTCCAAATTCCGAGCAGACGGACCTTGTCTAAAACTTCTATAAATAATATAAAATATAATAAATATAATAATAATAATAATCCCAGCAATCTGAACCACTCATAGAATACTATCAGTCTCAAACCAGCTTCAGCTTTAGGGGTGTTTCGTTGCTGAGCTTGCAGCTACATCACCTTGGTTTTCTGGGGGCGCTAAATGAATCAGAACCATGACTCATGAGTTTCCTGATATAACACATCCAATATCTAAAGTAAAGTTCATGATAAAAACAATCACTTACAGGAACAAAGACGTCAACAAACTACTCACCAATGAGCTGTTTGGGATTTTAGCTTTTCAAAGAAAGGGGCAGGAAATAGACCAGGTAATGCTGATGATATGATATCGAGTCTTAGAGCGAAGTAAACATATTTATTTGGATTGTCTGTTGTTTCCAATTTATTGGCATTTTATGTGACTGAAAAAAGTCATTATATAGCACATAGTTGAACTGTTCTAGTTAAAAAGTTCAACTGAAACATCATTAGTTCAACGTTTTATTTTCTTTAGTCCAACTGTTTTTAATGTTCTTTTTTGTTTCTACATTTTTTTTCCTACTTGCTTTGATTCTGTTTTATTTTCCTATATTTTAATCATTTAAAGCACTTTGCATTGTCTTTGTACTGAATTGTGCTATACAAATAAATTTGCCCTGCTAAATATGGTTTTCATGTGAAAAATCTGAAAGGTGTGACACCTATTTGTATTTAGCCTATTCTACCCAGCTACCCCAACATCAAATCCAGTTTGACGAAGTACTTTCTAAAGTCATGTAATTGATAAACTGATTTAATTTGTGATTAATTTCAAAATTACCATGGTGTGAATGTTCCGCTAAACCGACAAGATAGCTATAAGAGCATGAATCAGAGAAGCAGCAGAGTTGGATGTTAATTCTCACTAATAATTACTATGACAAACCAAAAGAGACCTAACCTATAGGGGACACTTTGGCCATTAAAATTACTATTCCAAAAATAGAAATGATTAAACATAAACATTTTCTTTTAGACATCCAACATGCAATGTCTAGGAAATACAAAAAATGCACCCTGAACAAAAAGAAGGAATCCAAATGAGAAGCATGGTGGTGTCAGCATCATGCTGTGGTGGTAATTATCATAATCAGGGATAAGGAAGTTCCTCTGAGGTGATCAATAGCTGAATGGGCCTAAATACAGTTCAATCCTTAAAAGAAACCTGTTCAGAAAGCAAAAAACAGAAGTTTATTCTCCAGCATGATAACTAAAGACTGAGAGCTCCTGGTTTCGACCATGAATGTTAGAGCAGACCATTCAGAATCCAAATCTAGGATATTGTAGAGCTATTTTGATCTGAAAATAATCAATGGGCCAGAAACAATAAAAATTAGTTTCCAAATCAAATTTAAGCCAGAAAGCTAAGAACAAATTATCATAGCAGCTTTAGATTTTTATCAGTAACCTGCTAAAAACCATGCAGCTTTTACATGCTCTACATTTGTGCTCAACTCTAACTAAAGGAAAGTTTGTTACCCTTGCTAGGTATGTTTAACACCAACCTCTAGCCACCATTATTTCTACTTTCATACGGAAATAAAATCCATTAAGATCTTCAACATGTTAGATTAGAAATATGACAGCAACAATTAAGTTGCCAGCTTGCAGATTTTATATTTAAGATGCATTGGAGGGATAAAGCTGCAGCTGATGATCTAATCCAGCTTCCTAAATGTGCCAGTGGGTGTTTTTGTATATGTCATAATAAGAAATACTTTAGTTTTTAATTATATATGAGGTTTATTAATGATAATACCAGTACATCATCAGCTTATTCCTTTAAGATTTCATACATTTTTTTTTTTTTACTAGCTCATTGAGGACTAATTATTAGTATCCGTCTATGACAAACATCTGGATCTGGTGAGCAGCAGAGAGTGCAGCAGGATGCCTGCAGCAACAGAGACATTCAGGGACTCAATGCCAGGAGACAAATCTCTACCGGCGGGGATGGTGAGGAGGGTTTGGCAGATGGAGAGGAGCTGCTTGGAGAGTCCGCCCCCCTCACCTCCCATCAGCAGCATCGTCGGCCTGGTCACCTGAAAGTCTGAACACGGGATAACAGGAATCTGATGCTCCTCTGGATCTGCTCCCACTGTGCCAACCACTTGCCAACCGTGGTCCACGTTCCTCCTCAACATGTCTTCCAGGCTGTCACATCCGTAAACTCCCATGACCTCCATAACGCCTGAGCTAGCTTTGCTGACCACTGGAGACAGCGGGCAACTGTGACGACGACTGCTGATCACCTTGTCCACACCAAGGAAATAAGCAGAGCGAAGGATGGCGCCGAGGTTCATCGGGTCCTGGATCCTGTCCAGGACCAGCCAAACTGGGATGCTGGTGCCACGTGTGTTGGACTCAATGGCATCGGTGAGGAAGCTTAGAGGACTCGCTTGAAGGCACACTCCTTGGTGTACTCCTCCTGAGGACATCTTGTCCAGATCTTTCTTGCTGACCCGACTGATTTGCACCCCTCGCCGATGAGCCTCCTCACATACGGTTAAAACTGAAGTCCTCTGAGAGGTCAAACTGTCTTTAACCAGCAGTTTGTAAGCCTTTCTTCTCCCCTGAGTGAGAGCCATGAGACAGGGAGCAATGCCAAAAACGACTTCACAGGTCTCTGCTGGCTTTGGTCTCAGTTGCCTCTCCTTGTCTGCAGGGAAGTCTTCCAGACACAGTTTCCTGAGCTCAGACGATACCTTGAAGACACCAAAGTTCTCCTTCTGTGATGATAAAATCTCTTTCTTTGAGGATTTACTGTGGGTTGGCCTCCTACGGTCTGACATATCCTCAGATGTGGAAGGTTGATGTGGGACACTGGATTTAATTGGCCCTCTGTGGCGCTTCCTGGCTGCAGCGCCCTGGCCCATGTCCTCTGGGTACAGGAGAGAGGACCTTGCAGACACAAGTCTGCAGACTTTTCTACACCAGACAGGAATAAACCTGTGCTGATGGGAAGAGCAATAGAGCAGCATATTTTGACCTGCCAACAGGTACAAATAAAGCAATTAAATTTCGCTGAAAGGAAACTTGCCTGAAAAGATGTAGTCCACAAATCACCCCATCTAATCATACACCTTACAACGAGAATTGGAGTGCAGGCGCAGACTAATCTTTTTTTCTTTTTAATCTGAACTGCAGACCTCTAAAGCTCTGTCAACATGTGCAAACCATGCTCTGTCAAGTAACTAAAGTTAGTGCCGGATATGACGCCAGACCTTTCAAGTTAAAGTTAAAAGCTGCTGATAATATTTCATTTGCAAATCATATGTGCAGGAATCAAACTTCTAAAATTATTAGCAAATCTTTACGAGAGAAACAACTATTAAATAAAGTAACTAAATCAAAGAAGGAACTATCACAGAAGTTATAAAGGGAAAAACACGCTAATTTCATCCATTCTAGAAAAACATAAAAACAGTTAAATACAAAAATTAAGAAATATTTTTTTACTTTTCATTTTCTCTAAAGATGATCAATAATAAATTAAAGCAATGCCTCTCCACTCTGTTAGATCAAATAAATAACTGCTGAAAATCACCTATAAACCAGTATTACACAATTGTGATTTATGTTATTATAATTTGTTGATAACAAAAAATAGATATGTACAAATGAATGGAATTTTTTTGTTATTTCCAGCTCGTTTTTTTTTTTTTTTTTTTTTTTTTTTTTTCTTTAAGTGGGCGCATATTGATTCACATTTTATTTTGAAAGTCATTGCTCCACTCTACCATTTTCGGTCACAACACTAGCTTGAGCTTGACACGCATGTCGCAATGGGAAAATTGACGTCGTCCCCCGTGGCTACGTCACTTCCCGGAAGGGCAACGCTAGCAACGCGGAAGCGTTGAGAAAAAAACAAATAACCGTTTAATTTTGATCGGTATTGGGAGGTTAAGGAGACACATAAACACCGTTTGACTTCTCGGTTTTTTGACTTTGACGAAGATTCTGGTTTAAGGTGAGTGGGATGAGGTTCGGTGTATCAAGTTAGAAAGGACCAGAACCGAATCAAACGGCTAAAATCTAACTTCAGGCCTTTTGGTCACATTACTAACTGCTGACCAACATTCGGCTTATGATTTAAGTTTAATAATAGAGTTAATGTTAAGGAAATTTGTTTTAGAAAGCGGTTTAAAGTAATTTTAAACAGGTAACTCCTTAGTTAACGTTTGGTCATGGTGGACAGACCGAGTTAAAAAGGAAATCCCCTCTTTTCTTTTTTTAAAACTACCTACAGCTTGTGGTTGTGTCATTAATCCTCCGGTAAAATACAGGGGAACTTTTACACTTTCACGTTTCAGCTATAAAACCAACCCAAAGTCTTTAACTCCCGGACAAATAAACGATATTTATATTTTGGTGGGTGAATAGAGACGTTTTAAAAATTATGTTTGAAACAAGATGCTGCTTCTTAGAAACAGTTGTAATAATTTTAAGGCTTCTAAGCTTTTTTTTTAACGGTCAATATTGTGTTAAAAAAATGTTTTATTATCAAACTGTACTTTTTGGGGGTTTATTGTGATATTAAAGGCTAATATAATAAAATTCAAATATTCTGAAATACATTTGTTGCACAAATTGAGTTAAGGTTTAGAACTAAAGGAACACCACCCTTTACTTAAAGTTTTGAAACAAAACATTTTAACTATAGTTGGCAAGCTGTCTGCCTGTTTAAGGTTGAATAGTTTCTGTTATCGTGTTGTATAAACATGATAAAGTTATTTTGATTGTAATTCTGCTCAATCTTTACACATTTAAACATGATCTGTGGGATCACATCACATCCAGACATGTAGAAAATCTTTTGTGGCTCGGTCTTGTTCTCTGTGGCCTAACAAAGAAAAAAAAAAAACTGGCCTTCAAAGACTTTCCTCTGGTTGTAATGATGTCATTGGTCAGGCGAGGAATGACTCATTGCACATGCACAAAAAAGTTACAGGTTATTTATTAATTCTGTTTTGCTTTATTTTTACTTTTACAATCGTTGCTTGTAGCCTATGACCCTCTATATATGCCTTACAATATAGTATCAATACAATAGCAGTTGCATTTATGAAAACCAGTTTAATTTGTGAACACTTTTCACACTGCCCTCCTTTTTTCTATTTACATTTTTTTAGTTTTTAGACCATTCTTCAATTTCTATCTTTACACAGATGGAGTTCCTGTTTGGGAAGAGGAAGACCCCGGAGGAGATGCTGAGGCAGAACCAGAGGGCGCTCAACCGAGCCATGAGAGAGCTGGACCGCGAGCGGATGAAATTGGAGCAGCAGGAGAAGAAAATTATTGCAGACATCAAGAAAATGGCAAAGCAGGGACAAATGGTGAGCAAAAAGGAAGAAGAAACAGCCAGGTGGGAGCAGCTGGACTGCAGGGTTCAGGCTCGACTTTTTGGTCAAACGGGAAAAGAGCCAAAAGCTGATTGTTAGCGGGTCAACCTGGTTTTTAAAAAACTTGGTTTTCAGGGGGGAAGCGGTTAAAGATGTATAGATTAGTGACGATCAGTTGGGCAAATGGAGAGAAATAGATTTTCTTTATTCATCAGTTGTATCAAAACTAGAAATTCCAATATTTGGTTTCCCTGAATGCATCAACTGACAGTATGATTCACATTTTTTATTTAAATGAACATAAATAAATGTTAGAAAATACACTTTGATTGCTGGATAAGAATTATTGGGTATTTTCTTCATTTTTAAAATTTTGTTAATTAAAATGTTTGTTTCGTTTTATTTATTATAAAATCCGAGATCAGGCCTACACAAATATTTTTATAATCAGTTCATTTCATACTAAACTTTGTGTGCTATCAATCTGCAGGACGCAGTGAAGATCATGGCCAAGGACTTGGTGCGCACGCGGCGTTACGTTAAGAAGTTCATCATGATGAAAGCCAACATTCAAGCCGTCAGCCTAAAGATCCAGACCCTTAAGTCTAACAACAGCATGGCACAGGCGATGAAAGGCGTCACCAAAGCCATGGCCACCATGAACAGACAGGTCCGTGCATCACAGCCTCTGATAAGTGAAGGAAAATAACATCACTTCTTCCTGTGCTAATGACTATCACCTTTTCCTGACTCCCTCAGCTGAAGCTCCCTCAGATTCAGAAGATCATGATGGAGTTTGAAAAACAGAGCGAGCTAATGGATATGAAGGAGGAGATGATGAACGACGCTATTGATGACGCCATGGGGGATGAGGATGATGAAGAGGAGAGGTGAGGGACTTCAGTTAGCATCCTCTGCATAAACAGCCATACCCAAACTAAACAAACATAATAGATTAAGTCAAAAGTGATAATTTCAAACATTTCTTACTTGTTTTAGGTTCGCGTCTACTTAGCATATAGACTATAAAATAGTGGTAAAGGCTCTTTTGGCTGATTTGAGAATTTAAAAGAATGTCTTCCCTTTGGATTTATGTGGTTTATTTGAGTTGCTGCTTGCAAAGATCAGATTCAGAATCAGAAATACTTTAATAATCCCAGAGGGAAATTACTTTGAGAGCCCCTGTAAAAATCCAGTTGTATCCAACATAGCTGTGTCTTTGCTCAAAATCTGTATTGATAATACTTCAAGTTTTGCTATTATATAATGAAGGGAACAGAACATTTCAAGGGTTTTGTTTTACTTTAATCCAAAAGAAAAATTTGTCTAGAAACATGATAAATATTTACTAAGACAACAGCCTATACACCCATACCTCCTGTTATTGTATTCCACCAATAGAAATGGATTCCTTACACTGCAAACTAGATATTCTAAGCTTTTTAGCCAAGCTTGCTGATAAATAAAGTTTAGTGGAAGGAAAAACTAAGATAGAGAAATATTCATAATAAGTAGGTAGAACTGCAGCCTTTGTTAATTTGAAATAAACCCTGGACTTGTACTACAGCAGGATTCAGCACCTGCCCAGGAGGCACAGGAGGGGTCATCCTTTATAAAGAACTTTAATAATCAAACTGTCTTCTCAGACTTTGGCTGCAGAACTGGAACAAGTTAGACTTAACTACATTTAAAAGGGTAGTGATAAAATTTGCTTCAAGGGCAAACCACTGAGCTTAAAACTTAGAGAAGCCAAAGTCAGGCTTTTGCTAAACAAAAATCAATGAAATTGATGGATATTCATTGTAATGTGTGTGTGGGGTGGGTCATCTGTTGTGACTGGTCCATAGTGTTTCACCCCTTTTAAAGTCAACTCAGCTATCAAACAGGAAATATCAGAACACTTCATGGTTTTTGCTTGCAGGGCTTTTGGATGTAAGGTTGTTTTTAAGGGTTATTTTTTGTTAGCTGTGAACAATAATAATTCATAACAGAAATCATTTTATTCAGTTTTTAAATTAAGATACTAAAATTGGATTTTTTTTTTAGCAACAGTGAAATAAATACTGTTAAAAAGCAAACCAGCTTGTTTTTAATCTTCTCTTTGCCTCCCCCTCAGTGACGCCATCGTCTCCCAAGTCCTGGACGAGCTTGGTCTTAATCTGTCTGACGAACTATCAAGTAAGAAAAACCCTCCAATCAGTAGCATCTCAAATTTTTCAATGTTGTTTTTCCCGCGTTACTTGAATCCATTGCGTTTCTTTTTCTGCTGCAGATCTGCCGAGCACCGGGGGAAGCCTTTCTGTGGCCGGAGGAAAGAAAGCCGAGCCTCAGGCTGCTCTGGCCGACGCAGACGCAGACCTGGAGGAGCGTCTGAATAACCTGCGGAGAGACTAAACGCGCAGGAACTGTCTGAGAGGCGCAGTTTGGCGAGGGTCATCATTACAAACGAACTCTAATCTCTGCGTTTAGATCCTTTCGGAGGCATAAGTGGCCGGCTTTCAGCAGGCGGTTCTATAAGGTGTATGGCTTTCTGTTTGAGGTGTTTTCTTTTATTGTATGTGCAATGTATCTTATTATTACAAGGGTCATCCTCCTTCATAGGTCCAGAAAACTCTTTTCTGCATTTTGACTCTGACGAATGATACAGATCATCTGTACATACCGACTTCTTAAAGCACGATGTATTTACAGTTAAAATCAACACTAATTACAGAATATTCAAGGAAACCCTATAGAAATATTAAAGGTTAAATTTTATATGACTGGCATGTAAATGTGTCGGTACATTTTGTACAGGAGGTGGGTTTGGTGTTTTGTTTTTCTATCCATATTAAAACGTTATCAGCATTTTTATTGTCCTTAAGTGTTGGAGATTCTAGTTAAAATAAAAAAAGATGGTTTATTATTATTATTACTGACATTTGAAAAGGAAAGCTATGTTCTGGAAGACACTCCTGGTGATTCTTTAATTGGCGTTTATGAGATCTGCAGCATCCTCACTATAAATAGCAGTCAGTGGTGTTTTTGTTTATTTCTCTGAGAAATTTTGTTTTTGGATTTATTGAATAAATATTTGTTTCCAGTATACTGGGAAATGAATCAGTTCCACTTTTGTTTTAGAGACATCCATTATTAATAAAGTTGGTTTATAGTTTGGGGCTCTCACCTTCAGATCAAAGTTTTTCCATCCAAACAAGTGGACACAAGGTTCCTTTTATTCACCTGAGGGGCTTTTTATGACAATCATTGATTGTCCCTTTGTATTTTTCTTCAGTTTATCAGGTTAAAAGGTTGAAATCCAAACATTCGTTGCATTTTGCAATCTGGTGCCATAAAGCTCAGACACCTCAGCTCTTGATATGCCCAGAATTTTGCTTTAAATTAAATTTTTACAACTTTCTGAAGGGTAAATTTAGAAGGTGGAAGTTTGATTTAGACCATCAATCCATATGTACACCCAAAACAAAACAGTTGGTAGTAGTAGTTCATTAAATTGAGATTAAAATAATGATTTAACTAACATGAAAAAGGAAATCAGGGGAAATGCCTCAGAAAAGAAGTTTAACCCTTGGAAAAAAAAACTACAATATTAACATTATTAGAAGTATTTGCAGAGAAACTATGATATCCTATTTCAAATTATTTTCCTTTATACCTCATAGGGTACTCCCATATGGTTTAAATGTATTCCTCAAATAAATTACAGCTTTCAGTTAACGCCCTTAGCAAACAAACTGATACCTTTAGAAAGTAGAGGTGAAAAATCAGACCTTTAAAACCAGTGAAGTGTTCATCAGGACAAGTTCAAATTCCTGAAAATGTAGACAGAATATTTATAGGGGGAGTGGTGGCCTATTGGTTAGAGCTTGGAATCACGAGGTTCTGAGTTTGAGCCCCTCTCATTCCCTCAGACTGCTACTGAGTCTCTGAGCAAGACCCTTAACCTGCGATCGCTCCATGGGCGCCCCACGATGGCAGCCCACTGCTCCACAAGGGGATGGGTTAAATACAGAGGTAAATTTCTGCAACATGAGATCAATACATTTTGTTATTTACATTCCCTAGAGAAATAAAATGTATGATTATTTACTTATGGGGAAATCTATCTTTTGTTTTTGCCTCTAGTGGCCTTAATTTTGGCTGGAAAGTAGGGAGTGAAATGTGAGTGCTCTACCCCTTCACAAATTATACATATATTAAAGACAAAATATGTGTCATAGACATGAATTTTATTCCAAAAAAATTAACTGTCAAAACTGTCAATTTGTCAACGTACAATCAGAGCAATATTGTATGTACTGAATATTTCCAACATTAAATAATAAAAAAATAACAGCAATGTTTTATTTACATTTGTTTCTGAAAGTTATGTACAAAGAAAACTTTTAATTTTATTTCCAAACCTTGCTTTGATGACAGAACGGGTGGAGCAACCAAGAGAGAAACCTATGGTTGTGATCATGAGCGAGATTAGCTCAGAGGAGACGGGCGGCGCCTTTGAAAGCGTACCAGCAGCTAGAACTACAACAGAAAGCCTTTTAATCACCTAAAACATCTCCGACTGAGCAGAGCAATGCATGCACATAACTTGGCTATTATTACTGGATGCAAATGTGCTTTTAAGGTTGGAAACTGAACAGAAATCACCTGTAAGCACAGCTGTCTGATTTTATAAAAATCATGCTTTCATGTAGAACTTCTTTAGTTTTAGTAACCCAGTGGGAAGAAAAGATTCTTCTTTTTGCAACAGGTAAGCAGTGCATGCAGCTCACATGAAAAATAAACCAGTTTCCCAAGTGTTGTCACTTTTTATACTGTTTTCAAGAACAACCCCTCAGATCATCTGTTTCTTTATGCTGAATTGGCTTATGATTATTCTATATATAGTCATGCTGTTTGAAAACCCTTATATCACAGTTAACATCGATAAAATCGTATTAAATTTGTGTGCAAACAGTAATAGCAACACGGCACTGAACAGTCGAGTTTTGACTTTTTTTCCACTTAGGCAAGGAGAAAAGCTAATCACAGCATTAACAATGTGGCTGGACTGTTTGTGATGAAGAATTAAGCTCCTCTTTGTGTAAACTGAGGACAAAGTTTCGCCCCAACATGCTCAGGATGAGAACCCTTTTTACATCAGAACATTACGTATCAAACCCGACTGAAACTCAAACTTGGAGCGATAGAAAAAATAATTCTTATGGCACATTTTGAACAAAAACATGCTCTGAACTCTTGAATGAACAGCTGCTAACATGTCACCTATATTCCTGCCTCGTTTTATTCAGGTTTTCTCCAGGAAATTATTTACTTTGTGGGTTACCAACATAATCCCCCAGAACCAATTTGTAAACTTTTTTTTCTTTTTAAATTCAGGCTGGGGGTAGCAGCATCCTGCTCTCAATGTGGTTCAGCCTTCACTTCCGACAAGTTCGGTGAGGCGTGTGTTTCTTGGGAACCTCGATCCGGCATCGGCTTCGTTCGTCCAGCCAGGGCAGCTCGAAGTTCCTGGAGTGGAAATAAATAAATCGTATCAATTTCCAAACTTATGGTTAAACGAACTTGTAAGAATAACGTTTGCTTTTTAGTCATTTGGCATTTCAAAGGTAGGTAAAGATAAAGAAGACAGGGATCAGCTTTCATGTAAGTTTTGGGAAAGATTTCATAAAAGCCTCAAATTTCCAGGAGTTATGTTTTAAAGTTGAATAAAATGCAGTTTAAGCTTTTTCTTTTTTATATAAAAATAAAGACAGAATTTAAGAGGATTTTCTTAGCAAAATACTAAAACAAATGGCATTTTTTAAAAACCTGCTCATTAAAAAGCTGTTTTTATAAGAATTAAAACAAGTAAAAATCATGAAATACTGGCCTTTTTCTAAAAAAAAAAAAAAAAGATCAGAGATAATGTTTTTTGTTTTTTTAACCCAATGAAAATAATGTTGCTGAAATGAAATGTAATCAGAATTTAACTTTAAGACAAAGTCTTTTATGATTTATGACTGCTTATCTAATCATTAGTTACTAACAAATTTAGATCAAAATAAAGAAATCTAATAAAGCTGCGGTTAAAATCCTTCCCCCCAGTACCTCTAAGACTTAATAACCATCACTGCTACCAACAACCTTAATAAGTTGTTATATTCATGCTGATTTTGCACAGTTTCTATCTTAGTCAGTTAAATAAAATGCTGCTGACATTTTGCACATCTCTGATGTTTCTGCTATTTTCAAATATCCATTACTGTAAAAATGTCCTGTAAAAATGTCCATGTAGCTGGAAATTGGTTATTTATTCTCCAGTTGCACAGTATTTATATTGTTAAAACACTTTACTGTACTGTATTTTATTGCTTATTTTTTTAACTCCTCACTAGAATGTTATTCTTACACATTTTTCCTAAGGTCCATATTTGTGTGACCATTTTTTTATATAATCTTTGCTGCTGTAAACACCAGAATATCCCCATTGTGGGACAATAAAGGTATTTTCCATTCTAGTCTATTCTAAATACTGCTGTTATATTGGTTTGACATGTATTTTTTTTAAATAACATCAAGCAAAGTTAAAGCTCATCATATATAAATATTAGCTAAAACATATACATACACACATATATATATATATATATATATATATATATATATATATATATATATATATATATATATATATATATATATAGACACAAAATCTTTTTTTTCACAGTTAGTATGGGCTTAAATTCACTGTTAATAAAAGTAGATAAAAAAAAAAACAATCTTATATAACCTTTTCAATACAGGTCTTAAGCAGGGGTACAGTTTACAAATAAACCAAACACCAAAAACCCTGGTGACTTACTGCTGGGAGAGTCTGGGCAGCGGCCGACCAAATGCAACCACAGGTAAGAATGGAGTGATGACTATCGCTTCAACTAGAACAGACAGAAGGGTTTCATTTCAAGATGAATCCAATAAATTGTTCTATACAGAAGCCTTAACTCTGCTATGGTGGTACCGTCTTCAGTGTCGGGGTAGAAGGACGACAGCTCGGGCTCCGTTTCCTGGACGATCTTCTTTCTGTTCATGCGCTGTTGCAGACGCTGGAACATGCGCTGCTCCCGAATTCGCTGGATATCCCATCTGAAAACATTTAAGGAGCAACTGCTAATTAAAAAAAATAAAACATGCCGCAGGAGGACGATTTGAAGAAAATGAAACGAGATAGACATTAGATGAAGAGTTTAGAAGGGGCAGACTATTCACTTTTATATTTAAGTCCAAGTCTTAAAAAGTTTTCTTTTTAATGCCAATTTAAAGAGTAAATTCAACAAGAATTGATGTTGATAAACTATATAACCAGTAACACATAGCCCCACCCTTACTTAAACGTTTATTAAACACATGGAATGTCCATTGATGCTTGATAGCCTAAACATGATCAGGTTTCTTCAATAATATTGTAATAACTTATTTAAACAATTTAAGCTAAAGTCCTGTTTAAATTTTATATTTCATTTGAAAAGAACACTATTTTTGCCCAAGGGTACTAACCTACATGGACCATTTCCCACTAAATGCATTATCAGGTCTGTTGTTGTTACCTTTTCCTCCTCTTCTCGTCCAGCTCCAGCTTTGCGTGGCGTTTCAGAAACGCGCCGTCATCCAGCGGCTTGAGGTGAGCAAAAGGTCACACGTTTTATTAAAGCCTGAAATGCTCTCAGACCAAAGAGGAGACAATTTAAAAATGTTCCCTTTCAACTTTTTTCTCACCTCATGGATATTACTGGCATCCTCATCCAAAGGCTCTATGTGGTTTTCCCTCCAAGAGGGGACTACCACGCAGGAAGATAAAAAAAGGAGGGAAGTTATTCATAGATTGTGCATCCAGCAGTTTGGATTGCTAAAGTGATAGAAGTTGGGATTTAGGTTAGGCTTACAAACAATCAGCATATCATGAACTACATGAGGAGTCCACTCACTGGCCACCTCTTCCTCCTTTTTAGGGGAAGTCTCACGCAGAGGGGACAGAGGAGGTTGGTTCCAGCAACAGAGATACATCTCTGTGGTTGACATGAAGGGCAGGTCCTCCATCTGGCAGCTCAGCTCAGGCTCCTCTTTACAGGGAAGCAAAACGTCTCTTTCTGCACCGGACCTGCCTGGAACAGACTTCTCTGGGGTTTCCTTACTCCGCAGCTCTCTTTGGTTGGGAGACCCGGGCTCCGTCTCAGACTTCTGGGGGCTGAGTTTTGCACTTTTAGCACGAGATTTTTGAACCTTCGGATCCGTGAAGCAAGATTTCCTGTACGTGCAACAACCGTTATTTTTAAACACGCAACACACAATGTTAAAAGTGTCTTTTATTTTGTTTATTTTACCTCTTTTGACCTTTGCTGAATGGCAGAGGAGTGGCTGCGTTGGGCTGTGGACTTTCCTCCATGTCCAGGTCCCATATGTCTTCTTTGTCAGGTGTCCACGTCTCGAGGGGCTGAAAAAGGCGCTTATCACGGGGCACATCCTTCCTTGTGAGCTGGAGGCGACGTTCCATTCGCTCAATGCGTGCAAGCAACTGTAGATAAAAAAGTGAAAGTTGATTAAACATATGTGGGATATAAAAGCTGCTAGAATAAATAAATTTCACGCACCATCTCCTTATCAGCCTTGAGTTCATCAATCTCCTTCTCCTTGGATTGCAGCTGTTGCTGCTGCTGTTCAATGAGGTCAAGCTGTAGGAGGAGAATCTGTCGGAGGCAGTTGGCCTGTGCATGCGGACTGGCAGGGGTCTTCCGGATGTTCTTCCACTTTCCTTCAGATGAGAGTTCAATGGAAGCAGTCCCGAGAACTCCAGGAACAACCCCTTTGGTGCCATCATCAGCACCAGCATCCTTTGAATTATTGTTCACCGCCATCTGAGGGTTATCCATGCTGTCAACAGAGAGGGGTTTACCTTTCACCGGGGTTCCCTCACCCCCCATTGGTCTGACAGGGGACGTTATCCCCACCTGTTTGTCTCCCTGAACCGTTTCTGGAGCTGTGGCAGCAAGTGCGACTTCGCTTGTCATGAAACTCTGATCTAAGTTTTTCGATCTGCTTGGGATCTCCCCCCTGCGAACGTCCTGGACATCAATAACAAAGTCGCAGGGCTCGCTCTTGACGCTCACGGTGTTGACCACGAAGTCTTCCGTGTCAGCCTTACTTTTAAATGCCGGTTGTAGAAAGTGTTTGGATCTCAGAGTCATGGCGAACACGACCACTTCTCATCCTGCAGCTCCACACCGACTCCCCATGTGGACGCAACAGCTGCAAAAAAAAAAAAGAGAGCAAACATCAGTCAATATACAGATATTTGTATAACAGACGCCCTGCTTTGTGTATTAGTCCCGAAAGAACGACAAACATTTAAAAGGAAATATTCTGCCAAATTAGAGTGTGCATCTTTTAAAAAATCTCGTACCGGGTTTGAAATGTTATACTTTGTCGTGTTCGGTCTGCGATACAAAAACTCAGAAGCAAACCTTTTACTTATAAAAGAATATAACCTCGTATTTCTCCAGCAGGGCAGACATTTTATAACTGGTTCTTCGGGAGTGGCTCTGTAGGACACAGGCAGCAGCAGCCAAGCTCCTCCATTTTGGTTCTCATGAAAAACAATAACAGCCAGCTAGCTGGCTAACGTTAGCCTCTCTTTTATAGAGCAAATTGTATCCCCGAGGCGAACAGCGTGTAATAACTAGGTCTTAACAGTCGACTTAAACCCCAACCGCTTTTATTAACATGTTCCAACGGCTCTCTATCTTACCTCGACCATATCAAGAGTGGGGCTTCAGGTTGTCTTCATGTTCCCTCCTCAAGACTTGTTTTAAAACGCCGACTACGGCGCATGCGCAAACGGTTGGATGGCCATTTCTCGAGTTTTGGAAGCTTTATTCCGAATGTCACCGCTAGGAGGAGTACAAGCAGGCCGGTATGCTGCATTATTTAAGCGATGACGCAATACTGTTACATATCTACGGAAGAGGATTAGGGACACTGAAAAAAACAAAAAAGTTATCTGATTTTTAAATTTTATTTCAGTATAATATGAGAAAAAAGGCAGACTTTAATTTAAAAAACTCTGACTTCAATTTGAGATTTCTGACTTTCATCTCAGAATTCAGATTTTTTTCTCAGAATTCTGACTTTTTTCTTAGAATTCTGACTTTAATCTCAGAATTATGAATCTGAATGTAGATGGGCACCATGAATGAAGAGATGTGGGAGCACTCAGCTTCACTGACAAAGATGTGTATTGTTTGGGAGGGCCAGTTACACATTGGTGGAAAATGACGAAATTATGCAACTTTTTACTTCTCTGAGGGGTCCCCGGTGATGAATTCTGAGATTAAAGTCAGAGTTCTATGGAAAAAAAATCAGAAATCTGAGATTAAAGTCAAGTCTGTGAAAAAAAAAGTCAGAATTCTGAGATTAAAGTCAGAATTCTGAGATTAAAGTCAGAAATCTGAGAAAAAAGTCAGAATTCTCAGAATAAAGTCACAATTCTGAGATTAAAGTCAGAATTCTAAGGAAAAAAAACTGAATTCTGAGATTAAAGTAAGAAGTCTGAGAAAAAAAGTCAGAATTCTGAGATTAAAGTCAAATCTGAGAAAAAAAAGTCAGAATTCTGAGATTAAAGTCAGAATTCTGTGATTAAAATCACTGAAATAATATTTAAAAATCAGTTAACTTTTTTATTTTTTCAGTATCCCTAATCCTCTTCCGTACATATCCCTGTTGTGACTTGATAGTGTTTTTTCCTGAGTTTTCCTGAGTTTTTTTCTGAGATTAAAGTCAGAATTCTGACTTTAATCTCAGAATTCAGACTTTTTTCCCATATTAAACTGAAATAAATTTAAAAAATCAGTTAACTTTTTATTTTTATTTTTCTGTGGCCCTAATCCTCTTCCGTAAGAATAAGCTTTAAACCTTAATTACAATTTTGTCACAGCATTAGTTTACATATACAAATGTAGTTAAATTGATTTTTTTTTAAACATTTTAAACATTTTGACTCAGACCATGTTTATATCATACGAATGTAACATCCCCTTTAAAATTTATTTGAATACATTTTTAATTTAAGTCATTTTGCTGATAATGCAAAAAAAAAAAAGAAAAAGCAATAACTTCCGTTAATAAAAATTACGTATTTCCGGTAGCGGCTAACTACCGGAAGTGCAGTCTGTTTTTAGAGTTTCCTCATTGTTTACTATGAAATAATATATATATGACCTCTTCGTGTGTCATTATAACCTAACGTTCAGATCGTTGTATTGATCTTTTAGGCCAAATTTCTACAGAATGCATCGTAGAGGCGTTGGGGCTGGCGCTATAGCCAAAAAGAAGCTAGCAGAGGTAAGATTTATGCATACTTCATGTAACTTTTCAGGGACATGTAAGTATAGTTTAAATGATTTTGATAAGACTTGAATACTTGCTTTCAGATTGTTTGTTCAGAAAAATCCGATATAAGGAACCCAGGGGAAACAGTGACAAATATTCTAAACTATCTAACCTAAAGAGGAATATAAATGCACATACTGGTGAATCCTCCATTCTGTTTTACAACTGTCTTGTAAAGAGAATGCTGATATACTTTCATATTTTTTTAATTTCATGAAGAATTTATCTTTTTAATATGCATTTCTTGTGCATTAAAAGAACAAATGACTTATCCAATGTCCACAGAAGCAATTTTACAGATGTAAACAAACAAACAACAGAAATCAGATCAGAGCTCTAGACATTAAAATGTTTTTATGATTTTTTCTGTTTTTATGAGATGATATGATCAATCATTACTAAAGGTTTGTCTGTGATGCAAGGTTTTGATAATAATGAGTTTTTGTTATTTCTACTTGAACTCTATTGTAATGGATCTTTATTGGACACCATCCACACCATGAAACATGGTGGCAGCAGCATTGGAATGGGTTTGATCAAATGATCTCTACCAAGGTCGAAGCCAGCTGCTTTATTTGACCAAATAAATATTTTCTCCTAAGATGACCCCCACATCTATTGCATGCAGCCTCTGGACACCTTTTTTTCAATAAACCTTTAAACTTATATAATGTTCTCTGGTCTCTGCCAGTGAAGTTTTCTTTAATCATCATCTATTAGTTCAGCAAAGAGCTTTCAGACATAAATCATTAAAGAACCTAAATGAAACAAGGATCATGCTTTTGGAAGCCATAAAATGAATAGATAAACTCTCAATGTGCGCCTTCAATGTGCACAAGTGTTGAAGTGTTTTTTGTTGCTTAAAATGCATATTGTCTGGCAAAAATAAAGGTGGACCCAGAAAAATATTTTTCTCAATATACTAATCTACAGTTTTCTGCAAGTTTCCTGCCATTCTGATAGAAACGGATTATGCCTTCATGCTTTTCTTTTAAGGTTGCCATTTCTAACATACCAATACAATTTGAAATAGATCACTTCAATTAACATAATTTGTTAACTCAATCCTGGCATTGAAATACTTCATTAGGTTCTGGATTAATAGACATAAATCATCAGCCTTGAAATCTGCAGCCTGTTAACCATATCAGTTTTTTTTCCCTCTATAGGCCAAATACAAAGAAAGGGGAACTGTACTTGCAGAGGACCAGATAGTTCAGGTGAGCTTGCATGTTCTTCCTTGTAATTTTCTTCATGTTTGAGTTTGTCTCAATTGTTATAATGCATTTTGAATGTCACCTTTCATTCGTTTCATTACAACCACAACAATTGTTTACAAACAATATTCCAGCTTTGGCTCAGTTTTCTACACCTGCATTACAAAAAGATTCCTCAGTTTATTTTCTGGCCTTGACAAATGAACCTTACTGAAATCAAGGCTGTGTATTTTTTATGTTTTGTGTTAATTATTTTTAGAGCTCAATGTTTTTTTTTACTAAGGTTTGAATCAGTGTTTTACCATACAGAAAAAGCACCATGTTCACTCTCTTTGTGTCTTTTGGGGCCAGATGTCGAAGCAGTTGGAAACGTTCAAATCCAACCTGGAGGAGTTTGCCAGCAAGCACAAACAAGAGATCCGCAAGAACCCCCAGTTCAGAGTCCAGTTTCAGGAGATGTGTGCTACCATCGGCGTTGACCCGCTTGCTTGTAAGAAAATCCAACCCCTTGTGTTTTAACATTTCCTTCACTTAAATCTCAAAGGAGCTGCAACTAAAACTGTGAAAAATGTATTTTTTCCCTCCACAGCTGGTAAAGGCTTTTGGTCAGAGATGCTTGGTGTTGGTGATTTCTACTACGAGCTGGGCGTACAAATCATTGAAGTCTGCCTCGCCCTGAAACACAGAAACGGAGGTTTGAATTTGGTTTTTGAAAGATGAATCCATAATAACCCTTCGCTCTGTCTTTAACATTGCAGATACAGATCATTCACATGAGAGCGACAGGGCTTTATAAAAGATTTCATGCCCTCTAAACTTTCACAAACATTTTAAATGCCTTCTTTAATGCTTCTTTAAGAAAATTATGTGAACACCTTTTTCGAACAGTAGTGAAGTAGCAAGTCTTCTATAAGCACTTCTTTTAATTCCCTCAAACAGTCCCTCTGTGGAACATGTTGGTGGCAGCATTATGCTGTGTGCATTCGTTTCTTAGAAGGAACAGGGAAAAGTGGTCATTGTAGATGGGAAGATAAATGGAAAGATGGCGTAAAATCTTAAAGTAAACTTGTTTAAGAAAATAAAAAAATGAATCATGAATCCCCGTAAAATAATGTGAAATTTAAGGCTGTAACGGAACAGAATGGGAAAAAAAGTTCAAGTTGGTTTTTGTTTGTTTTTATTACAGGTCTTATTACTCTGGATGAGCTCCACCAGAGAGTGCTGAAGGGTCGTGGTAAATATGCCCAGGATGTGAGCCAGTAAGTTCTTCCAGGCGTCACATTCTGTTTCTTCTGTTCTGCCGTCATGTTTTTAATTCATGAAGTGTACGTCGTCTGACCCGCTACCTCTTCTGATGCTCAGAGATGACTTGGTCCGGGCCATTAAGAAACTGAAAGTGATGGGAAGTGGCTTTGGGATGATCCCGGTTGGCGGTTCTTACCTGGTCCAATCGGTTCCTGCAGAACTAAACATGGATCACACTGTAGTTTTACAGTTAGCTGAGGTAAGACAAAGCATTAAGCTGATTTTATTTATTTAGTTTTCCAACTACAGATTTAAATCCGTCTGTAGATTTTTTTTTAACCACTCATGAAGACAATTAAGGGTTCTGTTTGACTCCTTGTCATTTAGTTAAGCTAATATTAGCTGTTGGAAGTCAGATACTTTAACCTATGCCACAACATAAACGTAGGAAATACAGAAAGACAGCGTTCGAATGCATCCATCTTTAATCTCATTTCAGGTGGTTATGTTCCTTAAGGCTACATATACATGTTGATTTAGAGCACATTCTTAAACTGATCTGGGAAACAATAATTTATTTTTTTATATATCCAGACTTATATTGAAGTTAGCAGACATTACCAAACATCTAACTAAACACACCCCTCAATGAGAAAATAAAACATTTGAAATCTTAAAGAAGATTTTCATGCATTGTGAATTTTAGGTATTCTTAAATGAGATTGCTTCCAATTTAGAAGCATCTAAAACAAACAAGCAAAACAAAATCAACCAGAAATCGAAGTAAAAGCTTAAAATCTGACAGTTTTTCAACGTTATGCAGTAAAAATCCTTTTATATAAATGCAGAAATTGCATGAAAATATGAGGCTTGGAACCAGTTATTACAAACTCTATGCATTGAGTGTTTTTTGATACCTGTTGTGGAAAAAAAAGGCCTTTAGGCATTTGGTTGAATTGTCTATAAATTAATAAGCAAAAGCACTTCTGTTATTTTAGCACAGAACATGTTGACCCTGGGTTATCCAGGGCTGACTATGTTTACTCATATTAAAAGGAAAATCTGTTAGGTTCACAAATGTAGGTTCATAAAAGAGGAACTGAGTCCACACAGGAAAGAGATACTCAACAGCTCCTGCAGGAGGGGAAAGAGCCAAACCCAACTTTCCAACTCTCTCCCGGACCCCCCTCCTGCAGTGCCCTTTTATTAACAGAACATAACACATGGTTACAAAACAGAGTATTCTTCTGACAGAACAATTGATTAGGTCATAAGACAGAATGCTCCACTGACTGAATCACAAGACAGAGTGAAGCATCTCCTTTCTTCAATGTTTCATATGCACACAGATTAATTTTATAATCATCATTGAATAAACCTAACAAAATCACGATTTCCTATTCAGTAATACTAAGTGACACTCCGGCTGTTAGCATCTGTATTTGGTTTGTAAAAATAATCAAACCTTCAAAGATTTTTTTTCATCAATATACAGTCAAAAGCATTGGATCTGACTCCAGTATTCACAGACTTTGGATAGCACAGGTATGATGCCGTTATGATTATGCAAAGAACACAAATTATTAAATTTAAATTGAATTGTATTCGTTTTTTAAATTCAGTAGACCATTAATTTCAACAAATCTATTTGAGTCACATCCAATTAGATTAAAATGCCTGTGGCAGTTTCTATAATGCAATTACTGAACTCCATTGATTACATATCAGGAGTGTTTTGCAAATATTTCCGATCACTTCGAATTTTTACATTTATATACATTTACGGTAGGTTTTTTTCTACTATAAATGTTCGAGCCTTATGCTGTCATTACGTCAGCTATGGCTATCAAAAAAAAAAGATTTTCCAAACCTTTTTAAAACCATCAGCTTGTGTTTAAAATTCATTTATCGAGAATACATTTTTTCATCAATATACAGTCAAAAGCATTGGATTCGACTCCAGTATTTACAGACTTTGGATAGCATAAATGTGATGCCGGTATGATTATGCAAAGAACACAAATTAATTAAATTTAATTGTATTAGTTTTTAAATTAGTAGAACATTAATTTCAACAAATCTTTTTGAAATGAGGAAATCCTACAATTAGGTCCTGTCTATTAGAGCAGTGCTTTTCAACCCTGGTCCTCAAGGCACACTGCTCTGCATGTTTTGGATGTTTCTGAGCTTCGGCACACCTGATTCAGATGATTGCAGTTCAGCAAAGCCTGATAATCTGCTATCAATTGATAACAGGTGTGTGAAAGCTGGGAAACATCTAAAACATGCAGAGGAGTGTGCCTTGAGGATAGGGGTTGAAAAACACTGCATTAGAGCACGCATCCCCAACCTCGGTCCTCAAGGATCGCTGCCCTGCAGGTTTTAGAGGTTTCCCTGCTTTAGCACAGCTGATAATAATGATTGCAGTAGACCAAAAGCCCGTTAATCAGCTTTCAAATAAAATCAGCTGTGCTGGAGCAAGGAAACCTCTAAAACCTGCAGGACAGCGGGCCTGGAGGACCGAGGTTGGGGATGCCTGCATTAGAGCATGTTGAAGTTCCTGCTTCCTCTCAGGCTCAAAGGCTGTCTCTTCATCCTATCCTCATAGATCTTCATCTTCTCCTAGTTTACCATGTCCCTCTGATACTCTCTCTGTCCTTCTGACAGTTCTAAGTTTTAATATTGGTCCCCTGTCATTAATAGAATCTCTTCTGCTTCACTTCTATCTCCTACAGCAGGGGTGTCAAACTGGTTGCAGAAAGGGCCGAGTGGCTGCAGGTTTTGTTTCCAACCAAGCAATAGCACACCAGACTCCAGTCATTTCATAATGTCATCATGTTCAGATTGGACTCACTTGATGAGATGATAGGAGTCTGGTGTGGTATTGCTTGGTTGGAAAGAAAACCTTCAGCCACTCGGCCCTTTCTGGAACCAGTTTGACACCCCTGTCCTACAGCAACATGCAGTCATAAAAACACTGAAACTGACCTACTGTCCATTACAGTAGTTTATAAAAGCGCTATTACCCGTATATTAAAAGTGAAATCATTGACATTTTTTCAGAAGTAAATAAAAAAAGTTGTTGATGTTTTAATTAACAAGAATATATAGAGTTATCCTGGTAACATAGTAAAAAAAATGAAATTATTTGACATGCCAATCCTTTCTCCATAAAATGTTGCTACAGGTTAGACAGCCATTTTGATTAAGGAAAACAGGGGGTTTCCAGCATGCACACCTATAACACAGACACATCACTAAAAAAGGCCATGATGTCCTCTAAAGAGTACAGTAAGACTGGATTAGCTAATGCTAAATAGCAAAAGATTATTAGTGTGAACACAATTTCCACTTAAATAGCAGAATCCAAGTCTGTTGTCGAGTTAGATTAGATTTTTAGTCCCTTCATTAAATTCTGAATCTGGGATTTGATTGATTTAGATAAGATATAGATATCTCTAACATTATTTCCTCTCTGTGCTCGAATCACATGACCATAGTTTGGATGGACCAGTAAACACAGAGCTGAGCTCCTTCAGCACAAAAATCTGCCTTTTCTGATTTCCTGTGTGGAAAATGGTGTTTTTTTTTTTCAGAATGAGAAGATTGTTTGTTTGCTGCCAATTAAAATCTTTTTTCTTTTCTTTCTCTCCTGGTTTGTAGAAAAAGGGATACGTCACAGTGAGTGAGATCAGAGGCAGCTTAAAGTGGGAGAGGGAACGAGCATGTCACGTGCTGGTGAGTGCATAATATCCAGTCTGCTTACCAACAGACATTCCCAACCTGCAGCATAAAAACATTCAACTTTCTGAAACTATTTCCTGATGTGAAGGTCATTATTAGAATGCAAAATGTGAGGAAGTATTTCATTCTTTATCGCACCAAAAAAACCTCATCACATCCTTATTTACTCAAATAATCTACATTTTATGCTAGGATGTTTCTGTTTACCTAAAAATGTGAGCTATAGTTTATTTTGTCTGAAAATCCATGTCTTATACAAGATAAGCCTTTACCTAAGAGAGTGAAACCAAGGTAAGTTTAATTTTATTGCATAATTCACTTTTTCTTTCACTTATGCTGGAATCTTTTGTTTTTAGTAATTAAATGGTTTTATTTTTGAAAGCAGGAAATCCCCTCATACCTAATAGTATCCTCATCAGTATAAACAGAACATATAAAGAGACCAAAAATAAATGAACATGCAGAATGAGAAACCTCCATAAAACTGTGTTCCAGTGATTAATTTCTTTAGAGCTAAATATAAGTTACCTAAACAAAACATGAAACCCCTGCAGGACCAACGTGTTCTCATATTCTGCATGTCTGACTCCTCGTATTTCCAGGATCATCTGCTAAAAGAAGGTTTGGCTTGGCTGGACTCTCAAGCAGGCGCAGAGGCTCAGTACTGGCTGCCGGCGCTCTTCGCTGAGTTGACCTCACGTGATGTCACGCCAGAGGAAGCCAATCAGATGACGCCTTAGGAGGATCGTTTTATTGGTTCACAGGCTGGAGGTGATGGACTGGGTGTAATCCCTCAAGGATCCGTACAAGAGGGCTGTTTTTTTTTTTTTTTCCCTTCGTCACAGGCACCTCGCGTTGCCCAAGTATTTGTGCACTGTGAACCTTTTTAGATTTGTCAGATTACAGCCACAAACTGCAGTTTATTGTATTGAATCCTTCCTTTTCATCAGCTCTGACCAGTTCTCCTTTCCACAATAAAGAAAACTATCCCCATGGTATGTTGCTGCCACCACCATGCTTCACCATGGTAGAGGGTTTGTTCAAGGAGAGGAGGAAACTGGAAACGTTACAGGGGTGTGAAAACATTTCAAACACTCTGTTATTTCTGTGTAATCTTGGTGGAGTCTTGCTTTTTTTGGTGATTGGAGAATTTCTTAATGGTATACACATGTAAAAAACTGTTTAAAAAAAAAAAACTTTACACCAACTTTGTTGTATTAGTTTTTATTTTGCAGCACAACCACCTGAAAGTTTTTTTCCAGGGAAACACATGAGCTGATCATTCACCCATTTTCAACCACAACATACTTGGAATTCATCAGGTCATTAAATACAGCAGACCTAGATTTATTTTTTATAAAATAAAGTTGCAAAGCTTTGATAAAAATAAGAACTTTTAAATGCTGCTTAACCTGTTCTATCAGGTTTTGTTATGCTAAGCAGTAAGCTTTACCCAACAAAGAGTCCCAAAGATTTTTCAGCCTAAAAAATACATTTTATTTACTTGTGTGTGTGTGTGTGTGTGTGTGTGCGTGTGTAACCAATGTTCCCAGTTTAACCCCTGAATTATAATTCCAGTTTGGTGTTTGAAGATGGTGATAATTAAAGCTAAACAGAATATATTTTTTCAAATTTTCTGTAAATTTCAAGTCACATCCAATTAGAATAAAATGCCTGTGGCAGTTTTTATAATGCAATTACTGAACTCCATTGATTACATATCAGGAGTGTTTTGCAAATATTTCCGATCACTTCGAATTTTTACATTTATATACATTTACGGTATATAATATACTGGACTATCAGGTTTTTTTCTACTATAAATGTTCGAGCCTGATGCCGTCATTACGTCAGCTGTTGCTATCAAAACAAAAATTATTTTCTAAACCTTTTTAAAACCACCAGCTTGTGTTTAAAATTCCTTTACTGAGAATGCATTACTCAGTGCTGCCAAACAGAGCAAAATACGATGCATGCATCCATTTTTGTAAGGCAAGGTAAGTCTATTTGATTAGCACAATGAGGAAAACACATGTACGCTGCAGTAGAATAATAAAATGAAATGTAATTATGTTTTAGTTAATGGAGTGAGAAGAAAAGTGAAAGACAACTCTAAACAAACAGTTTTTGATTTATGATTTAAAGGAATTTAGGGTATTAGAGTATTTAAAGTCCTCTGGAAGTTTGTTCCAGGTTAGTGGAGCATGAAAACTAAATGCTGCTGCTCCATGTTTGGTTCTGGGTATGCAGAGTAGATTTGAGCCAGAAGACCAGAGAGGTCTGGGGGGTTGATCTACTGATTGCATGTCTGTAATGTATTTTGGAGCCAAGCCACTCAAGTGATTTACAGACTAACAGAAATATTTCAAAGTGTAAGGTACAGAGAGCCAAGCTAAAGACCAAGCTAATGGCCTTTACTTTTTCAGTTCATTTAGAGATAAACACATGGATGCTGAGACAGCTGTCCTTTATCCTAGAGATATTCTACATATAAAGGCCATCTTTGTTCCTATCTTTATGTGCCTCTGAAGGTTTGAATTCATAACTGCTCCCAGATTTCAGGCCTAATCAGAGGTTTCTTGCATAAATCTCCCCCCGTTTTGTTTTTATTAAGCTGAAGAAACCAATGTTAGATAGAGCTTTTAGTCATTTCATAGTAACATATCCTGTTTATTATAATCCTAAAGGCCCCCCCATGGTGAAGGGGCTTAAATCCTGATAGCAACTTGAAGGACATCCAGTCAAGTCATGACATTCTGTGGCGATCCCTGAATATCGGAGCAGCCGAAAGGACACAAACATCTTATAATCTGAGTTAGTGGGAGCATGTGGAGATTAAATGGGAGGGCCCCCCATTTGGAACCCCCAGTTTTTAAGGGGGATTTGGCAGTCTGAAATATTTCAAGTGAGAAAAACTAAAGTATCCATATCATCCATCTTTGTAATATAATGCTGTGTAAACTGTTATTGGTAATTTATGGAATAATTCCAGTAATCTGTAGATTACCTGAATTCCCAACCAGCGAAAATCATATAATTAAACAAGGTATGCTATTCTGCACAAAAAACTAATTTGCTTAACAATGATGAACTGATTTTTACATAAAACACATATCAAAACCACGCTGGCTAATTTTCCGTTAGGCGCTTCGAACATTTACGTCAGAAAACATCATCGGCTTGTTTTAACAGCAAGATAAACAGAAAATAAAACAACATACGGTACTGTTATCTGCTATGACACGGGAGCATTGGTTGACAAACCTAAGATAATAAAAAAAAATAGTCTCAAATCTCAATAGATTAAATAAATTTACTTTAAATTACCTTCAAATGTGTTTTTCTTTCTTAGATTTTAAATCTAAACTTCATCATCATTCTTTCCTTTCACACATGCAAAAACAATCTGATCATTTTAGCCTATAAAACATCAATTAATATTGACTGAGATTGTTAAATTAAAAGCTGTAAAATTCTAAATTTTTTTGACAAAACAGTAATGAAGTCGGAAGGAAAGAACCAACTTAGCAAACGGACACAACAACGATGGGTGAATGATTCAGGTTGGAAGAGGCAGAAAACATCTAGAGGCACCAGAGAGAGCAAAGATGGCAACATCAGGCAGTTGCTGAATCATCCGACAGTCCAAACATTTACATAATTTATCCATGTGTGGTTTAAACTGCCTTTAAAATGGATAATTTTGTCTGATTTCCCAATATGGTTTTAACAGTTTAGTCATTAAGTGTGTAAATATCATAAATGAGGCTGCAACTAAGGATTATTTTTTAAATCGATTAATCTATCAGTTCTTTTTAAGATTAATAATCGCAAAGTCAAAGATTCCTTAAAGAAGACCTTTTTACAAAATTAAGCCAGGGGAAAGTCAAACAAAGTTCTGGACAGGGGATATTGACAGACGAAAATTTTTATTTTAAATCTTGAATGCAAAAGATATAAATATATATCTCTATATATCTTAGAAATATAAGATAGATTTTTGGTTTTAAAATTTTTGTATAATTATTGCTCTAAATGGGTCGCTCTGTCAGCTAATAGAACGTTTTAAAGTATGCTCCAGTTAATGATAAAACAATTACTAAATTAGTGGATTATTATTACAACAATCGATTAATCCAATTAACAGTTTCAGCCCTAATCATAAACCTTTGATTAGTAATATATTCTATCCCTTAATTAAGAATATTTGTGTTTATACAACTATCTTTCTGCCATTATCCTTTATCTCGATTGCTTTTTCATTAACATGCCACCAAAAAGTCTACAATCTCCCTTAAATGCATGTTAGCTTATAATTTTTGCAGGTTATTGGAAATGATACAAAAAAAGTGTCAGTTTTTCCACCACTAAAAAAAATAAAATCAGAAAAAGCATTTTGGCTATGCAGCTCTCACAGCTCGTGGCTGTAGACGTGATCTTCAAACACGGACTGCTCCATGGTGTCACAGATCATCGTGCAGAACGGACACACTCGGTGACTCTGCTCGTGCTGCTCCAGCTCCTGCTGCGTGATGCCGGGGAAGCTCTCCTGGCAGTGACGGCACACCATCACCTGCTGCCAACGGGGGACAGAAAGAAGGTGTCATGAAATACGGGCGGATTACGGTTATAAGTCCACTTTAAAAATAAAGCAGTAAACAGTGGCTCATGTGGCACAGGGTCATGTTTGCAGAAGGATGTTATTATTCATCTGTTTTGGAGGTGAGAGGATAGCCTGGAGCTCTGCAGATTACATGGAAGAGTTTAAACATATGTTTTCCAAATAAAAGAGGAATCTGTGACCCTTAGACATTGTGTAAACCTGTTTATGTATAATTTATCTAAAATTCATTTTAATCGTCATTTCCTTGTAACTTTACGCCTTCAACCAGACTTGATTTTTTCTACCAGCAGCTTCTCGCAAAGACAAAATTTGTTCCATTTCTTTATTTAAATCAGATCCAGTTACAAACTTTAACCCTTTGTAGGACCCTAAGTGAAATACTTTGACATTTCAAGTCAAGAGTTTTATTAGATGACAGAACTATTTTATCACTTATGTGACATAAAAAAGGCAAACAAATGTAATGCCAATTTAATTACCAAAAACAGTCACTTGCCTTTACTGTGGTAAAATTAAATGTGTAAAAAACAGAGGTACAACATAACCATCAGAAGATTAATACGGATACAGGAACTGAATTTTTTTTATTTCTTAACTTAGCTGATTACGTTTTTGAACTTTTTTTTTTTTGTACTTCATTTACATTCAGTAACATATGAGACACAGTAGGCGTCATTATTGCGCTCCGCTTTAGGACAAAGCTGGACTGTGTAGACCACATTTGACACCTCTAGATTTTCTGCATATCATGTTTACGTATTGCCAAGTTTCAAAGAGATGGTAAAAATACTGTTCATCTGCTGAAGACTTTTTTTTTTTGTCGTCTTTTCAGCCTAACATTTCTGCATCTGTCCCCCATTTACCAATTTCCTTTTTTTAATCCCATACCCACATTGTGCTATGGTCAGGTGCAGGGATAAAAAAAAAAAAGGTCGTTAAAGGGGGGGGATTGTCTCCTGTAATACCTGAAACCTGTCTATGATTAATGACCGACCCTCAGAATCATAGACAGGTTTCAGATATTACAGGCTAACCATTGAACCAAACAACCCACTCATCGGTTACCATTTGCATGTTTCCAAGCAATACAAGGCTTTGTCTATATATAGACTCAAACTCACTGCGGATCCAGACATTTGAATTGAGAAAGC